GCGGCGGCGGGCCATGAAGGCCGTGAACCCCAACTTTGTGCCGCGCAACTGGGTGCTCGACGAGATCATCCGTCGCGTCGAGAAGGACGGGGAGCGGGACGTGCTGCGGCGCGCCATGCACATGGCGCTGCACCCGTTTGAGGATGCCTGGCACGGCGAGACAGTCGAGGGCACGGTCTACGAGGGCGACCAGGAGGAGGAGGCGCGGTGGGTGGGGGATGTGCCGAAGCTGGAGAGGGCCATGCAGTGCAGCTGCAGCTCGTAGTGCGTAGAAGCATCGTCTCCTCTCCAACTCGTAAGAAGGGCAGACCTGGAATAGACACGACTGTACATGTGCATGAGTCCCACAACCGACGCACGTGTCAGTCATCGTTCACCCATCGGGATTTGCCGTGTCAGCACATCGTGAAAGCACATCGTCCGCGAACAGCATAGGTGTAAAGTAAAGCTTGAACGACTCCAACACGGGCGTATTTACTTCTTCCGCTCTTCCTCGGCCCTGCTTCGCCGCCACGACCACGCCCTCGCACCTCTTATATGTACAAGCAACGCGACGAACAACCCGGACAAAGGAGCTTTTCGTTCTTCGGAAACCCCCTCCTCCCCCTCCCCCGCTCCATACTTCAAGGTGCCTTAATTGGTACATTCGCTCCCGATGCTCTTTACGCTCCGTACGCAACCTGGCCCATCGGCCTGTCCTCCTCCATGCCGGGCGCCATAAAGTTGGTCCTCGGGTCGCCGGTGGCCTTGGAAGCCGAAACACGGGCCATCGTTGGTGAGCTGTTCATCGTGTTAGCAGTGACTTGATCGAGGCGAGGGCACGGATTCCGACTTACCTCCTCGAGATGACGTCTGTGAAGTAAAAGTTGTCGATGACCTTCTTGAGAGGGGCACCGGTGGGCTTGGCGCCCTTGTTCTGGTCCACCAGCTGCACCTTGCTGAGCTGCTGCAGGGAGACGGGCTCCACGACATCATAGGCGGCCAGCGCAGGGCTGATCTCGGCCATGCGGTCACGGACCTGGGACACGTCGTCATACGTCAGGGGGACGCCGAGGAACTCAGAGGCGGCACGGAGGATCTTCCAGTCTGTCCTGGAGGCACCGGGGAGCGACGTGGCGGCACGGGTCATCTGAACACGGCCCTCGGTGTTGATGTAGGTGCCAGCCTTCTCGGTGTAGGCGGCGCCGGGCAGAACAATATCGGCAATCTCGGCACCGCGGTCACCGTGGTGGCCCTGGTACACGACAAAGGCGTCCTTGGGAATGTCGGCAGCGTCGAACTCATCGGCACCAAGGAGCCAGACGAACTTGGGCTTGGTCGCCGCAACCTCGGCCGAGGGGGTGACGAAACCAACCTCGAAGGCACCAGCCCTCGAGGCGGCACGCTGCAGAACGTTGTAGCCGTTCCACTCGGGGGTGATGAAGTTGGCGGCGTTCTTGTCGACAAAGGTACCGACGGTCTCGTAGAAGGCCTTAGCATCAGCGTGGTCGGTGACGCCAGAGCCGACGATGATCATGGGGTTCTTGGCAGCCTGGAGCTTCTTGCCGAAGGGGCCGGCGAGAGCCTTCTTCAGGGCGGCGTGGTCGGTTCCGAGGTGCTCAAACTCGAAAGTCGAGTCCCACGTCTCGCCAACAACGCCAATCTCGAGGTCGGAGCGCAGCCACTGCTTCCTGATGCGGGCGTTCAGGACAGCGGCCTCGTGCCTGGGGTTGCTGCCGACAATGAGGATGGCGTCAGCCACCTCGATACCGGCAATTTGCGAGTTGAAGAGGTAGTTGGAGCGAACGTCGACACCGTGGGAGATGGGCTGGCTGCCGGAAGGCATGTCAAGGGCGAGGTTGTCGGAGCCGAGCTTGTTGGCCAGGTCCTTCATGACAACGAGGGACTCGACCTCGGTCAGCTCACCGGCAATGGCCTTGAACTCGTTGGCCTTGGGCTGGAGGGTCTGGTAGGCGCGGCCAATCTCGGTGAGGGCCTGCTCCCAGTCGGCGGGCTCGAACTTGCCGTTGCGGCGGACGAGGGGCATGGTGAGTCGCTGGGTCTTAAGGCCGTCGCAGGCGAATCGGGTCTTGTCGTTGATCCACTCCTCGTTGACGTCGTCGTTGAGCCTAGGCAGGATACGCATGACCTCCAGTCCCCTAGAGTCAACGCGAATGTTGGAACCGAGAGCATCGAGAACGTCGATGGACTCGGAGTGCTTCAGCTCCCACGGCCTCGCGCGGAAAGCGTAAGGCTTGGAAGTCAGGGCACCGACGGGGCACAGGTCGATCACGTTGCCGGACAGTTCGGTGTTCAGGCTCTGCTCGAGGTAGGTACCAATCTGCAGATCGTTGCCACGGCCGATCGAGCCAAGCTCGGGAGCACCGGCGATGTCGTTGGCGAATCGGACGCAACGCGTGCAGTGAATGCACCTGTTCATGGACGTCTTGATGAGAGGGCCAATGTTCTTGTCCTCGACAGCACGCTTGCCGCCAATCTCGTGGAAGCGGCCCCTGTCGCCGCCGTATCGCATAGACTGGTCCTGGAGATCACACTCGCCGCCCTGGTCGCAGACGGGGCAGTCGAGGGGGTGGTTGGCCAGAAGGAACTCCATGACACCCTCGCGAGCCTTGTGGGTGAGAGGCGAGTTGGTCTTGACGACCATGCCAGGCTGGACGGGCCAGGCACACGACGCAACGGGCTTCGGGGCCTTCTCGACTTCGACCAAGCACATACGGCAGTTTCCGGCAATCATGAGCTTCCTGTGTGTATTTGTCAGATTTCGTTTCGAAGGGAATTTCGGACGGGGTTCGGTAGGCAACGGGATCGATCGTACTCATGGTAACAGTATCTACGCAAACGTGTCAGCAAGGATCCTCACATGAGGTGATGGCAAGGGAGGAGCATGTTGGGGGCACATACCTAGGAATGGTCACACCAGCCTTTTCGCAGGCTTGGATGAGAGCAGAACCAGCTATCCCTCTTGGTCAGCAAAAGACGACTCGCCTGGCAGGCCACATGGTCTTATTCACCTTCTATCGAAACCTTCTTGCCATCTAGTGACGGGTCAGCTACTTTGTCAAGGCCAATTGGATGGTCGGGATGGTGTTTTCATACCAATTGTGAGCTCGACTTCGGCATTTCGCTGGGTGGTGGAGGCAAAGGTGCGCGAGGCATTGGCGGCCTGCCGGCCAGTCCGCCAAGCCGAACGAGCCAGAGTATGCCGGAGCATCGTGTCGCCCTGACGGAGTAGAGGTGTAGATGGCGAACGGGAGGGGTGTTCGTCGGGAAGGGTGGGAGGCAAGTCGTGGTGTACAGGTCGTCAGGTCGTTGACGTCTCGAGGAATCCGGATGCTCTCCGGGTCAGTTTGGTGGCGCTAGCGTCGCGATTAATTTACATCAATGCTGATTGGTCCACCGGCTCTGTGAGCACACGGCTGCCTGAGGCCATCACGAGGAGCTCCACCCGCCGCCCATATCACTGCAAAATTTCCGTGCGCCGCAACGTACGTCTTCTCTTTTCCTCTTTTCTTCCTTAGAATTGTTTGGACTCATTTTATCGTAGGAAAGCTTGCCCGCGCTGTTCTGCAGCGTGTCACTCGAGCCTTCCTCTATCTTGTGTCCTAGACGAATGCAACACGCCGATTATGGAAGCATGGGAGAATACCTCAATGACCGCTGCCTCTTACCGCCGGTCGTTACATACCAAAGTGAAGCCGTGATTGAATGCACTTGAAGTCGCCTTGACGATGTCTGCAGACTGTTGTGATCAATGCCAACTCCAGGCGTTGATATGCCATAACGTAGGGGGAAGAGTGCCTGCGTCACTGCCGACCGCTGAGGCAGTGTGATTCTGGCCCAGCTCTACAATATCCTGGAAGCATCTCTCGGGGTGCGGTCAAACGAACCGCTCAACTGGGTGCTCCTGAAGGATCCCGCGAGTTGGAGCTGGTCTGGCAATCATCTGCGTCCATGGTTGGTCGGATGCATCAAGCACGCTGTTCCCTCGTGAGAGCTGATCCAGTGAAGTCGCTCACCATTAGCCATCAGTTACAACTGAGACAGTCCCCTCAGCACCCGTGGCGCCTAGTCCCTCTGGCAGCAGCGAGTCATACAGCTTCTGAGTCGTTGTCAGAACCAATCCAGAATAGACATAACAACTCGATGGGCAAGGTGAGTATCCTGGGTCATGTATTGTGCTCTCAGTATAAGCCCGACAACACCAAAATCTATCAGAAAGCAGCAATGGCCAGCACCATTCTGCATTTATCCTACTCGCCCAGTCAACCGGCAGAAAGCTCGTCTTTAGTGAACGCAAGTGATAGTAAACACACAACTGATACACTTGTCTCACATGAGGTAGACGCAACGGAAACGAGGCATCTTGAAAGTAAAGTATCATTACTCATGTGTCACGCCGGCTTCTCGTCTAGAATTTGACTCGGCAAGATCCAAGGTCATCCACTTACATCAACTGCCATACTTCAGCTCGGCCTGATCATACACAAGCTTCCATCCAGGCATTTCATGGGAACGGGCATTCCGGGATCGTGCCTTCGCTACCACCTACGCCACGAGAGCCTCTTTCACCTGCAATATGGCATACATTATTCTCAATTTAGCATCGTTCTCGGGAAGACACAGATCACAATTATTAACGATACTCCACAGAGATAGTGCAGGGTTATGCCAACCACATCGGTCTTGAATGGCAACATTTAGTCCTCCGATCCAGCTAAACTCTCCATATTCCCCAGACTTCGAATCTCTTGGCTCTGAAAACGCCTCTCGAATTCCGTGTGTTTTGGTTCCGGAAAATGTCAGGACATGGGACCCGTTACTCCAACGTTTGATTGAAACCTCGCACTCTGCATAGGTAGTTGCGGGCTTCTTAGCCTAATTGAGCCCCGTTCCTCGCCCTCTAGTTGCCGATAGCCGGTTCCCGCTTTACCCACGACCAATCGAGCACCACTTCCCAGGCACTCACCTTCCTGAAGTGACAAGTCTGCCGTTAGCTCAGCACGTGGGTTTGGGATTGAAGGTTCAGTGATAAGATGTGGTTGGGATGTGAGCCGATCTGCCGGCGCGAGGCGTTAGCACGAGGCGATATCTACGACTCTGAATCGTGGGCAATGACAATCCGGCAGAAGCTGGGCCTAGCGTCGCATGCAATCAGCGTCTATATCGGCGGAGGCCGACGTCGATGGCCCCTGAACACGATGCCTATAAGTTGAATCGTGCCGACATGCACTCCAGTGACTGTAGATCGTCAGTCCGAGAGCGCAGTATATTGTTCCACATCGGTTCTCACTCCTCCTCAACATGCACTCCCGAAAGGCCATTTTCAGCGCCAGCCTGGCCGTGAGCGGCGCTTTGGCTGCGAACTCACTCCTCTGCCCTTCAAATGTCCCCCAGAGTTGCCACAACACGACAGCTTTTGCGAACGCGTGCTGTTTCAGTGCTCCGGGAGGCCAGATCCTGCAAACACAATTCTGGGACAGCAACCCCGCCACAGGCCCGGATGATTCGTGGACCATCCATGGCCTCTGGTATGTCATCCGCAGGATCAACGTCGACACGTCTCTGACTTTCACAGGCCGGACAACTGCGATGGCACGTACGAGCAGTTCTGCGCCCCCGAGCGGGAGTACACTAACATCACAGCCATCTTGGCTGCCGCGTCTCCGTGCTCACTAAAGTACATGGAGACGTTCTGGAAGGACCAAAACGGCAATGACGAAAGCTTTTGGGAGCATGAGTTCAACAAGCACGGCACGTGCATGAACACGCTGGAGCCAAGCTGCTACCCAGGCTACACGCCTGGCCAGGAGGTGGTCGACTACGTCAAGAAGACCATTCAGGTGTTCAAGACGCTCCCATCTTACGAATGGCTGAAGAAAGCTGGAATCGTCCCGTCGGAGACCGTGACCTACACCCTGGACCAGATCCAGACTGTCCTCACCGCCCACCATGGCCACAACGTCATTGTCAACTGCAACAAGAACAAGGAGCTCAACGAGCTCTGGTACCACTTCAACGTCAAGGGGTCCATTCAAACAGGCGTGTTCGTACCTGTAGACCCCGTCGGCTCGCCTTCGTCTTGCCCCAAGGAGGGAATCAAGTACCTGCCAAAGAAGAAGGCTGGAGCAACAACCCCGGCTGCCACGACCACGGCGGCCTCTACCTTGAGCACCGTTCTCACATCCGCGGCCGGCTCTACTTCTACTACCGCCAACCCATCCTCCATCTCTGGAAAGGGCCACCTTTTCGCAACCTCGTCTGGCGTGTCGAGCCCCGGCTTCCTCGTCTCCGGCGGCAACTGGTACCGCGGCGGCGGCACCCCGGCCACCTTCACGGCCACACCTGCTGCGGGGGGGTCATTCACTCTCACCTCCAGCAAGGGGAACTGCGCTGTGCAGGAGAACGCGTCGCTGCTGTGCGCGTCCTCTGTCGCCACTGGGTCCTCGTTCGGCTACGACGGTACGTTCTTGACGTACGCCGGCGCATCTGCGTTCTACACTGCTGAGGTCCCGGCTGGAAACACGCAGAGCACCGTCTTCACGAAGGCGAATGCTGTCACTCTGCAGTTCACGTGGACCGCGGCGTAGCTGGATCACCGGAAATCACTTGTAGACATCGTGTAGGACTTTGAGTAGTCACTGTGCAGCTTTCGAAAAGATGTTCACCATGAGAGCTTGCGGGAAGCAAAAAAAGGGCTGGATCGCTGGGTGACCATCACAGTACATATCATAAGTAAATAAATGCACCAGGATTCTGAACATGATAGAGAGGCTTCGATAAACGGCCGTTGGCAGATAGTTGCACCTGATTCCCAACATTTGGCTTGCCGGTGCGCGGTGCTCGGCATACAAGCGACCTAGAATACAGTGCCATCGCTTTTGATGAGGATAGGGCTTGACTTGGTTTGCGGTCGGCGCTGCGCCGCGACCTCACGCCCAGACTTCCAGGTGCCGGCCTCAAGCAGTTGAGCCATGCTCAGCTGCACGCCCTCGCCCATGCGAGACGGGAGTCTACCATAGAGCAGATCGATCAGCACGAGTGTCATGGCCCTCCACTCGACGATGACGTCGTCTCCCGCTTCGAATAGCGGGAGTTCCTCGCCCGACGCCGCCAGACCTCGCTCGAGAGTCTCCTTTTTCAGGACGAGCACGCCCATGTCCACGAACAAACCGCCGTTTCGGTATTCTGGCAGGGCGGTCAGGCAGTCTGCGTTGGTCCACTCTAGGCCCAAGACCCTCTGGAATGGGACCATGAGAGAGTAAGTGAGCCACTGTGTGAGCTTGTGAAAGGGTTGGATGTTTTCGGCGGCCGCATCGGAAGCGCCTGGTGCCCCGCCCGTTCGCAGAGTGCTCAAGGGCCAGGCATCCCCAATGGGCGTGCCGCCGATTGTCGTCCGATCTTTCGGCCACGCAGGAATGAGGAGCGTCTGCAGTACGTCCCAGAGGAAAAGAATGTCAAGTTTGGCATCGCCTGAGGCCTTGATTAGATAATCTATGGAAATCATTAGCCATGAAGCATGTTCCATTAATACTAGAAAGGCGAATGTTTACCAACTAGCAGACCTGGTCGGCCTGATTCTCCGAACACGTCGGGATGGGCGAGCAGTGACTGTCCAAGGCTCCTGAGGAGGGCGGCACGTGAGTCGACGCCTAGCATAGGGTTGTCGTTGGTTACCTGGAAACCCTCTGCGAGCGCACTCGTCTCCAATTGCTGCAAGCCCTTGCCTGACAAGCAGTATTAGTTCAAGGTCAACAAGATAGCATATGGTGAGTGTGGTGGTGGGGTTACCGTCGACTATCGGAGCAGATGCATCCTTCGATCCAGTGAAAGCCAAGGAGTTGAACATGTGCAGGCTGGCTACCGCGATACCCTCGCTTCGCTCGTAGACCTCGCCCGTCTCAGCCTCTTTGTACCGCCAATGATCACCTGCGCCAGCATCGAGAAGTACGGAGACGAAGAAGAGGTCAATGAGGCGGCGGGTCAGCTCCTTTTCATCGCTGCCCTCGTTCGTCCACTTCTCGATGAGTTTGGCGATCCGTGGTACATTACCGACCTCGAAATGCTGCCAACGGCCGTGAGGCGGGATCGTGTGGAATCTGTCGGGACCAAAGTCGCGCTGGCATCCATTCGTCAGATTGCACAAGATGTATTCAAAGGATCTTGAATGCCAACCTTGATGACAGAGGCCACAAAGTCGACAACATCATCCAGCTTGTCTTCCCGAAGATCAAAATGGCTTAGTTTTCCGGCCTTGGCAACATCTCCAACAATCTTGGCACGCTCGCGGACTGCGCGGAGAGAAAGGAGGTATTTGATGTCTGAACTCATGTTGAAGGAAATAATGAGATGAGTTCAAGCCGTCTGGTCACGTTGGCAGTGACGATGTATTAGTAGCGAGCGTAGGGGGACCCCGCACTTGGCTGTCAAGATAAGGGGGCAGTTCCCCGGGCAGGTCGGGCAACTCCGAACACCACCATAGATAGCTCCCTGTAGCGGCCGTGTCTCAGGTGCTGGTGGACACCGCCAGCGTGCACCCTTTTGCTGGTGATGCCCAACGACGACCTGACCCAGATGTGACACCAAGTCTCACCAATAGAGGATGACAGAGTGACCAGCCGACTTGGCTAATTGAGGTCTGTTTCTCAGGCACACTCCAGCTCGCACGGCACAATGTAATTTTCTGTGGTGCAAGCCAGCGTCTCCAGCATTCTCAGCTGTCAAGTCTTTCTCCGGGACACGAACATGCCAGCAGCAGAAACTGTACGATCGCGTCGTGATAACGACTTCTAAGCGCTCTCGGTGCGTCGTCGAGCTTCTTCCTGTGCTGTCCGCGTCTTCGATGTCCTTTCTCTTCCTTCCTCAGCCTCAAGCTGTTTCTTGTAAACCTCCCTTACTTTGGCCATCATGCTGTCGAATCCATCAAGGTTGCTCATAGCACCCTCAGCTGTCGTCAGCAGCTGGTGCACTGTCTGCTCTCTTGCCGTTCGTGGCCACTGGCAAAGAGTAACGGGAGGCAACGGGCGGTGCACCCCATAATCCCGCGTGGGATCCTTAGGCGCCATGACGTTCTGCATCATCATGTCGACTAGACTTTTGTCCAGCGGCGGCGGCGGGGTCTGGGCGCCTTGCGCTGCCTCGTTCATGCGTGCGGCCTGCAGGACGCGTTGCTGCTCGCGGCGGAAGAGGAAGATGATGTTGGCCTTCACATCTTCTGCGTGACTGTCGATGCGCTGGATGACGAGTCGGAGACGATCCGCTTCGGTCTTGGGATTGCTGACAGAACTTTTGAGGATTGACTCCTTGAGTGGGACGAAGATCGCTGGTGATATGCTGTCGAGAGGCGGGATGAGGTCTTCGTCAATCGACGCTGCGGGGCCTCCACCGTTGCGCGAGCTGTATGAGCGACGTGGTGAGAGAGGGCCCTCGTCGTGACCCTGAGCGTTGTGTAACGACATGAGCGGAGGAGCCAACAGAGGGCTGCCCAAAATTGCAAAGAAGGCGGGGGAAGGCAAACGACTGTGCCTTAATGATGATATGTGCGATGACCGTATGCCTTAAGTGCGACAGAGTTCGACAGCAGCGGAGTAATTCTCCAAGAACAGCATCCTCAGGGGTATAGCTTGAGAACAACAAAATTGAAAAAGGTCGACCAGAAGGCCCTCAAAGACCGACCATGGCGTTACGTCGTTCGAAGACTCGATGTGATACTACCCTTCTGAAGGTGGAAGGAAGTAAGTGAGGGTTTGTCAGAGATGGTTAAGGCCAGGACGGAACCAAAAAGTGGAAACAGGCTTGTCGTATTGGGCAGGAGTGCCCCTGAAGACACCTGCAACGCATCTCACAGATACCAAAACCGAACGCAAAGACCATCAACACAACATAATAATCATGCTCGCTACAGAAACCGTCCTGATGAACTCTTATCTATTCACCAGTCTAGCGCACTCAGCCAGTACTTGGAATACTTAGACATGTGATTGTGGTAATGTTACAACGGATCAAGTCCAACGAAACACACCCCTCCGACCACAACAACCCGGGCGACTGGTGCAGGTTCTCGTCCAATATATCCTAACCAAACAGAAAAGTCGCATGTGTGTGTAATGGCTTCTCTCCTGGCACGAGCGAGGGCCCTCGCTTTCATCAGCAAGTCCTTAGTCTGCAACACACTTGGGACTGGTGCATGCCTGTGCCTGTTTCTCGTGCAAGTCTGCCTCCAGTGACCGGATTGTCAAGCTTTGTGCAAGACGACTGGGGACAACGATAGCTCGCAGCTGTCATACGCAGCCAAATCGGAGACCCTGTCGTCAAGCTCAACCCTTCTATCCGATGCTCTTTCATCCTTTACTGGCATACCAGGCGGTAGGTCTGGAGCTCGAACTAGCCAAACCACGATCGACTGGCAGAGGTGCGCCAAGCTCGGAAGCTGGCATGCTGTCTGTATATCGTTTGTACACGCGGCACAGGCTTGGTGATTCTGGGGAAGTCGGTCGGGTCACGCCCTTGAGGCGCGCCTGTTTGATGGTCGGCATGAACTTGGTGGGTCTACGCCGTATAGTATCTCGGGTGGCGTCGCGTGCTGCTGCCCGCACTCAGGCGTAGTCAAGCAGGCGGAGGGGAGCGGGATTCACAACCACCTCGCAGCCCGGACGTTGGAGATGATCTCCGTATGGGCGCCTGTGAAGAGGAACCAAGGACGTCACCTTGATGGGAGGACGTTCCGCACGTACTCCCGGGCCAGTTTGAGACCAGCACGGACGAGGTCCTCAAGCCGCCGGTCCTTTCGCTTCCGCATCCACAGCAGAATGAAGGCCAGGAGGACAACGTCGATAGCAAGATGCTTCATGATCATCCAGACCAGCCATCCCAGCCAGGCGGGGATGCTTCGCTCTTTTTTGAACCTCCACTCTCTTCCTGTTGTGATCTGCTCGCGTAGAGCCGCTACCTCGGCTGACATTTTGACCAGCGCATTCTCGACGCTCCGGGACCATTTCGAGCTTTTCTTCGGTGCATCGTCTTCTTCCTCGCCGTCTTCCTCTGCAGTCGCTTGCCGTCGTGACTCCCTTTCCGCGGCATCGTCTTCGCTCATTGGGCTCAGCACTCTGAGCGGCCCCTCGGTTCCACTCGTAGGCTGGGTGAATCGACGGCCGACAAATTGGTCAGATCCTTTCGACGACGAGGCGCTGGGGCTATTATTCTTGATTTGATTCCACACAAATTCGAGTTCGGCAACGAGTTCTTTCGCGTCTCTGATCATGGGTTGTTAGCCGTGACCTCGGGCCGAGGGGGGGTGAGGTGAGGAGGAGTAGGTATGGCTTACGGTGTCGTGGCGTAGCGATGCATCGTCTCAATCAGAGCCTCGATGTACCGCCTCTTTGCCTCCGTCTTGCCCAGGCCACTCTGTGCGTTCCAAGCATCCCACTTGTCCTTCTCCCGCTGGAGCTCGTCGCCGGACAGCCCCGCGCCAGCAGCGGGGCGTTCCATGACGCCATCGACGTCGCCCTCCATGGCTTGCTTGTAGAGACCGTAGAGCCGGAGTCTGTCGGAGGGTGGTGGCCGGGAGGCACCGGTCTTTGGTATCTTCTTGACGGTGTTCAAGGCGTGGACGAACACGCGATCTGCCCGATCTTGTTAGCCCAGTTCTGTTTGGGGGGCCCGTCGAGATGCAGGCGGATGCGAAGAGAGACTGGACACTCACCTACTGAGTCGGCCATGATGGCGACTTGAAAGAACAGACACGGTTGTGATACAAGACCGCGATCAGTGCAGACGTTTGGTAAACAACCGATGAATCCGAGAGCCGAGGTGACGGCAACCGTCAATGCGGGACGCGTAGATAACGATGGGTGGGATAGATGTGGTTTAGGTGCACGATTGGCTTGGAGTCGCAGACTCTGTCGATGGAACCAGGAATTGATGTATTAGAAAGATCCACATGCTAATGGGAGGATAGGAATTATGAACGCCTTCGCAACAATCAAAAGGAGAAGATCCAAAGTGTTAGATGCCTCCGGACATGACCTGTGCCAGGACGGCGCGAGCTCCTGTAGCATTGTCACTAGCAGCATGCCACTTTGGTCGGGAATGATTTGCCTCGGCGCAGAGACGCCGCATCCACTCTCGACCCCGAATCCCACCCGAGGACCCTGTTATGTAATCAACACTATCCCCCGGACACGTGAAGGCGTCCCTCTTCCCCATGGGGAATACTTTCCGGCGACTTGGATTGAAGATTTCATAAAGTGGTCACTCTGGCATTGGCATTGCGCTACCTACTTTCACATGCATGTATGTGGTCGCTTAGCTGAGGTCACGGTATGGATCAAATCTGAGAGACCTGAGGCGGCGCATTGAGGCAGGGTCGGTCGATGACGATGAGATGGTTATAGAATCAAACCTATGAGTGGGCCAGGGCTTTAGGTCCGTTTTGATAGTGTATGCCCGGTTCCTATGGCTCTTGATCGTCATCATCCTCGCCAGCTGCGGCCTTCGCAGCTTGCAACGCTTGCTTCTTCTCGCTGTACTTTTTGATCATGGCCTTGTTGTCAAGAGCCATCTGCGCCGCCTTTTGCCCAGCTTCCTTCTTGTTGATGTCTGTGCCTTTTCCAAGCCACTTGTTCTTCTCACCCCAGCCATCAAGGTACAGATTTACACCATGGACAGTCAGGCGCTTGTTGAACTTATCGAACTTGGGACCGCTGGTGTCATCTTCATATCGGAGGCTGATGCCCTTTGCGCCGATCAGTTGGCCCAACCGAACCTTCGCATTTAGGACCTTATCCGGAAGAAGAGACTGGTCGCCCATTTCCAGAACAGCTCTATGTTCGGGCTTGTTTGAGATGGTCGAGATCTGGTGCTTGATCGTCATGCTGAACAGAGCCTTCAGCCACTCCCCGGCGCGTTGCAGCCCGTTTTCTGGGTCTGAGAGGATGACAGCTGCGACATATGATTCAAAAACATCCCCGGGAACCTTCTTCCACTTCTCCTTGGACGCTTTGACTTCCTCTGGCGCCCTGACGCGATCGACGAGGCCGTACTGAGCTGAGTACTGTCCGAGGTTCGCATTACAAATGAGAAGCTCCCGCAATTGAGACAATTTTCCAGATGAGAAGCCTCCGAAAGTACGGAACAGCAGGGATGACGAGATGATTTCAGCATATGCGTCACCAAGCCACTCGAGGCGCTCATAATTCAGGCCAGGTCCAACGGTGTAGTGTGTGAAAACCGCAGTCTCAAGCTTGGGGTCGCAGATGGCCGGCAACGGCGGCAAGGAACTTGCAATCTCCTCGGTAGCAAAGGCTGACAGAATGAGGGGCGAGGGGATAGGTGAGCACGCCGGCGCAGAAGTAGATGGCTTTGGCGGGTGAATTGTCCCGTCGTCAGCATGCGTGTTACTCTATGAAAGGAAGGGTGAGCATCATCGACATAAATGAAGCGGCGGAGATGAACGTACAGATTGATTTTCTTTCGAAGCCTCTGGCGCGGCGTCTGCTGAGGCGACCTTTTCTCCAGCGAAGGCCTTAATGGAAGGCAGAACGTCTTGGCACGTGCCTTGTAATTTCGTTGTGAGTTTCTCTCGTCGCCGAATATCAGAACTTGAGTCTCCTGCCTGCAACGCGCTTCTCAAATCCTCGATCCTCTTGACCAGTTTGTTGGCATGCGCGAGCATGACATTGAGGGGTTCGATGTCATCTTTGGGCGGGCCATCGACATGAGGGCGCTTGCTAGACCCTGGCCGACCTTGCAGCTCATGCGTCGGGCCTTCTTCGCGTGTTCTCTTCGACATTGTGGATTATCGCAGATTTTGGGTCTCCTTCGAAAAGAGAGCCCCCTGCAGTTTCGGCAAACGATAGTTCTCCCTCAGTGAAAATCGTGAAATTTGCGATTTCAGTATTGAAAATAATTGACTATGTTCGCCCGGATGAAGATTGTACATGAAATGCATTTATAGAATCTATGCATCTGTCCCATATGTCATTAGCACGAGAAATCAACTTATCGGATGAGGATGGTGGATCCGTCGCGTCACTTTGGCCAACCAGGCGAATTCGAGATTCGAGGTCGATCGCAAACTCGAACTCCATCTCCACGACGCTCTGCTCAGTGCCGACAAGATGAGTGTTCCACGCGCCAGGTTGCTGGACCTGATGAAGGTATATGAACTCTGCGACGGGTCAATGAAAACTTGTCTGACAGCAACAGGCCCAATGCCAGATCTTCGCGACGACATATAACCCCGAGGGCGTTCGAATGGGTAACAAGGTCCTCCGCCAACGACTCAAAGGCCCAGCTCTCGCCTCCTATTACCCCCGAAAAGTCGTCGACATTCACACAGTCATGAAGTCGTTCGGACCTCACCTCACAACATTCGACTTGAAGAACGAGGAGCGTCTAGATCACATCGCTTCGTACGTTGGGCCAATGCAGAAGGCAATTTCGGACGGCATGCTGACCGATAGAACAGACTCAAAGCTCGGGGGAAGGGTGCACCTACGAAAAAGAAGACAAAGTGTCAGTTTCTCTCCATGAGCGAACCTTTGTGATAGGTACTAACATCGCCATAGCCCCGCCGAAGTCCAGAAAATAAATGTATACCACACGAAGCGATCGAGTCTAGACACTTTGTACAATACTGTTCAACAATCTTTTACCCTACTGTTCTCTCAGAGCCCCCAGAACTCTGCTTTTGTCACGTTGACAGCGTTTCGTGCTTATGCCAGTGGGTGTTGATCGTGGTACGACCCCGGTTAGGGGTCGTGGTATGCGCACAGCGATGCCGGCCAGGCCTTACACATTGAACCGGCGTAACTGGCATGGACCTCTGCTGAATTTTTGCAACCGAGCTTAGTAGATCTCTTAGGGTCGCTGTTGACTCTGGGACGCCAGCTGGGATGGTAATGCTTGAGTTGCCCATATGAACACATCATCCAGGGGTGTGTGCCTTTCGCAGTTGATGAGACTGTGAAGGCTGATACTTCATCCTTGCTACGACCCAGCGCGTCTCTCGCTAGGTGGAGGTAGAAAACACTCGTGCCCCTTTTCGGCCTGTGGTGTATGCTGGCCTGGCGGTGCATCCGATTATCATCACGGTCATAGACACCGATCATTGAATGTTGCCTGTTGCTAGATGCTCAGTGTTTGGTAACGGGGTGCTTCCCTGCGTCGCGTTAACTGTCTCCAGCCCACCTAGCATCACACCAGCCCTCTCGCGCTCCTTCCTGACAACAAAGACGCCCAGCAGAAAGCATTCACTGGAAAGTGGTTCTAGGTCACTTTCTCTTCGGCCAAGGCATGGCCATTGAGATCACATTCCATCGTGCCTTACGTCAACCTTGTGAAGCTCGGTCCCAATATCACACGCGCGAACCAGCCTACGCATCACCAACAGCAATCGAGTTTTCTCTCACCGGGGGCTTCACCAAGATTCTAGTCATATCACGGGGTTTCCGCTGCTGCCTGTGAGAAGCTGGTGTGCAGCCTGTTTCGAGGGACAGACCTCTCCGTCTTGCAAATCTAACCCGTACTCAGCCTTGGAATTGCACTGTATTGCGACGGCTCCTTCCTCGTCGGAAACAAAGTATGCACGCCATGACCCGCCTGCCCTTTCCTGCTTCACCTTTCTCCTCCCACTAACCTCTGCTTTCGTTCGCAGCTATACCCAACCGACCCGCATATTACCTTCTGTACCCCCGTCACGCAGGAAATTGTCTCCGCCCCCATCCTAGAGGTATAAGCGTGCACGCAACACTCTCCTTCTCGCTGAAGTCGATCGATCATTCTTGACGGATCACAATGTCCGACACGTCGACCGAATTCAACCCCTCGCCGACACGCCGGCCTGCCCGATTCACAGCCAAGGGTGGTCTAAAGCCTCCTGACAAGAATCCTCACCTGCCCACCAAGTGTACCCTTCCTTCCAACCAGGTACGTATTCTCACATGATGAAATTCATCTCCCCTTGGAAGTACTGCACCGGACCAAGCGGCTCTATCCCGGCCTGACGCAGCCCCTGTGGTTCGTTCTTGCCTTTTCAAACAACAGTGCCTGATTTGGAATTCAAAGGCTCTATCTCGCACCGGACCAGCAATCATCGTCACTTCTCCGCCTGCCCCCACCAATAGCACTCAGGTCAGTAGCATGCCATCTCATCAAGCCAACTTCTCCCCTCATTCTATTCCTCTACTGATCATTCCGCACCGACAGGACAACATCAAGCCCTTGAGCCTCACCGAGCAACTCCTTGCCCGTCTTTCTGAGCAGGAGGAGCGCTTTACGCAGCAGCGGAAAGCCCTCAAAGACACATCTGGTTCCGCCGACTTCTACTCTCGTGGCCTTCTCAAGATGGCGAGCAGCAACTCTCTCCCCGTCACTCCTACGGTCGGAGAGCATCACGCCCCTAACCCAACTACCCGACCCGCCAGTGTCGACCAGAAGGAGGCCAAGTCCATGGACGATGAAGTTGCTCGTCTCAAGGCCGAGCTAGCCCAGGCCCACAACAAGATCTCTTGTCTCGACCAGGAGCTCGTCCAGAAGCGGGAGGCTGTCCCCATGAAGTTGGAGGTGAACACTCAGAAGGCCAATTTCTCGGCTGTCGATTTCGTCGGCCGTCCCTCGTCTGCCGGCTTCAGGCGCGGTAATGGCTGGAACTCTCCTGATGCTGTTTACCTTGGCGGCGGCGATGCCATGAACGATAACATCAGCGATCGCTCGCGTGGTGGCTGGAGCTCTTCCAAGACTCCTTGGCAGGTGGCTAACTACGCCATCACTGAGCCTAGCCCGATCAACAATCACGTTGGCGGTGGTGTTGCGCTCTACAACAACAGCATGGATGTCAACAGTTCGTACCGCATGTTGGACAATGTACAACCGGAGAGGCTCGCTCCAGAGCCAGACCTCTATGTTCGCAATCATGGTGGCCGACGCGGCAACAACAACAACAACATTGGTGGTCGCTATCCCTCCTATTCGTATGGTGGCAATGGCTATACCCAGAGCAACTACGCCACTACCACTTATGCCACCAGTAACTACGCTCCCAGCAGCTATGGTGGCTACAGTCCCACCCCCAATCAGTTCGACCCCGCCATCGGGCACAAGAGCAACGTTGAGGTGCCTCTGTATCCCACTTATAACCCGTCGAACAGGACTGGGCTCTCACCTCATGCTCTGGAGTTTCACTCCAACACGAGCTGGAAGGATGAGGTACGTATTGTGAAACATAGCCTGAGCCCTGCTTGGCGTTCTCGTTCGGGACTGACTGGTCATGGCGCTCGTCAGGCTACTGCTGCCGAGGGACAGACCTTTCTTCCCACTACCGAGCCCATGAACTATCGCCGTCTCCTGGACAAGAACGCGTCGTGCGACTGGAATTACATTGTCGACAAGATTGTATGCCACAATGACCAGCAGGCCTCAATCTTTCTCCAGCAGAAACTCAAGGTGGGCACTCCTGACCAGAAATATGACATCGTCGAGGCTATCATTGCCCAAGCCTATGCTCTGATGGTCAATCGCTTTGGCAATTTCCTGGTTCAGCGCTGCTTCGAGCATGGTACTCCCGAGCAGGTCGTCAAGATTGCTGAAGCTATTCGTGGTCACACCCTGAACCTCTCGATGGACCCATTCGGCTGTCACGTTGTCCAGAAGGCTTTCGACGCCGTTCCCGAGGAATACAAAGCTATCATGGTCCAGGAGCTTCTCCGCCGGATCCCTGAGACCGTCATCCACCGCTATGCTTGTCACGTGTGGCAGAAGCTCTTCGAGCTGCGTTGGTCCGAGACTCCCCCTCAGATCATGAAGTATGTCAACGAATCTCTTCGTGGCATGTGGCATGAGGTCGCTCTCGGTGAGACGGGTAGTCTAGTTGTTCAAAACATATTTGAGAACTGTCTCGAAGAGGACAAGGTACGATAATTTCCATGTCTGTTGCTATCTTGCCGACCACGGGCTGACCTTTGACCCACAGCGACCCTGCATCGAGGAGGTCCTCATCAACATTGACATTGTCGCCCATGGCCAGTTTGGTAACTGGTGTATCCAGCATATCTGCGAGCATGGTGCCCCGCCTGACCGCAGCCGTGCCATCGATCATGTCATCCGCTACGCGTCTGAGTACAGTACCGACCAATTTGCGTCCAAGGTCGTCGAGAAGTGCCTCAAGATTGGAGGCCCCGAATTCCTTGGCCGTTACCTTGATCGCGTTTGCGAAGGTCGTCGAGACCGCCCGCGTATTCCCTTGATCGACATTTCGAGCGATCAGTACGGCAACTACCTGGTCCAGTACATTCTCACTCATGCGGGCCCCCAGCACCGCGAAATGGTGCAGGCTCACATTCGAAAACACATGGTCTCTCTGCGTGGCTCCAAATTCGGCTCCCGTGTTGGTATGCTCTGCACCAACCCCGCTGTCGTCACCCGACCTGGTCCTGGCGTCGGGCCTGGCATGCCTCGCATGGGTGGTGGTAGTGCTGGCCACCGTGGCTTCGGCAACCCCTATCGCTAGCGAATGCGCAGCCTGCGCCAAGTTTGCAGCTTCTCGCTCCATGCTTCGGCTGTACATCCTTTGATCTTCTGGTTCGATCGCCCGACGTCTGCCAGAACTCTGGGCCTTCCCACTTCTCTGTCTTTCGCGCCGTCTGCTACCGTTCTTCTTTTCACATGGTCTCGCTTTTAACTTCTTCGCGGCAACAAGTTATGTGTCCCTTTTCGCAACATATTCCGTTGCAGCTTCTACCAGATTCACAAGTCATCGTACACTGGACCAGCTACCGCAGGCCCTAGTGCTTTGGACAAATCATGGTTACGAATGGTTTTGCAGTACTTGGTGATACTGCACCTTTTTGGAGCCCTATTCGGGGAGCTTGATGGTACATGAGAACGCCAGCCAGCAATATTTTTATGAGTCTCCTCTGTCGTGGTTGGTACGTTGTGACCCACGGTCAGGATTTCTGCACTCTCCCAGCCAACCTAGTTGGTAGGAAGTGTGAATTACCTGAACATACTGGATGAAGGAATGAATGATGACGCGAGAATGGAAACAATTATCATGTACGAATATTTCCAGCTATCAGGCACACCTGGTCCGCAACCTCAGCTGCTGAGGGCATATTTTCGGTAGCCTGTAATTAAATCTTGATAGCCTAGCCTGCCTGAGTCGTGTCTCGCGTGGTGTCGCCATGTGTTTCGACTGTTATGGTGCTTCCAACTGTCACTCTGATTCTTTGTCAACTGGCATGGGTAATAAGCTGACTGACTATCTGTAAGGATGTTTGGCTCGAGATGATAATGCACATTTGGAATGTGGAATCCCGCCAACTCTGCTAGTCATCGTCTTGACGTGCCTCTCAGGCGTCAAGTGGTGGGAAGCTGGCATCAACTACTGCCGGTGCTCCCTCTGCGGCCGGCGCAGGGTCAAGGTTCTTCTCCCATGGCTTCTTCGGCGCTGCTCTCGCGCCGAAAGGCTTCACCGCCTGAGGAATCGATAGTGTCAGTCAGGCGGAACAGGATGTGGATCAGGCCAGAGGGCAGGAACGAGAGAAGCTCTGGCGGCCTGACTTACGGGATCTCTGACAACGGTGTCCGGGATCTCAACGATCCCGGGGATGGGCAGGCCCTGCTGTATCCTCTGCAGCATCTCGGCGAAACCCATGGGATAGGCGGGCTGGTCGGCGCTCCCCGACTGCGCAGCCGGAGCGGCAGTGGGCTGGGACTTGTCGACATAGAGGTCTGCTTTGGGGGCGGAGGACTGCCATGCCGGCACGCCGGACGGTTCCGCTGCTGGCCCTGCCGGCGCGTCTCCTTTTGCGGTGACTGAGGTAGAGTGAGATGCGGTGGTTGCCTGGTGGGCATACTCCTCCGGCAAGATGTCGGGCGGCGTGTGCTTGGGGTGATCTTCGAGCCAGGTCTTGTACTGGGCAAAGTCTATGCGCACGCCGACGCGCTGGGCATAATAAAAGATGCGAGCGTGGAGGGCCAGCTCTGCAGGCTCGCCGCGGGGGTTCGATGTGTTTGGGTCGCCCAGGATGGCCGAGAGCCCGGACTATTTTGAGACGATGCGTGTTAGTGAACAGTGAGGGGGCGAGGATACTAGTGAGGGGCTCGCAGTACCAGGAAGTTTTTGTCTTTGGTCCAAGGATATGTGTCGAAAGCCTTGAACGTTCCGTCTGCATCATCTATGGCCCTGATGCGCTCCGCACCTGCAAGCGAGGGCTCTGCTTGCGACATTTTTGCTGCTGTTCTGATGAGATGTGATCCAAAGTATGCCGAGGCTTGGCTAGGCCTGTGATGTTGGGGTTGGCGTCATGAGACGGGCTCTCGGTGAGAGAGTGAGCTCGAGCTCGGTGAGAAGGGAAGTAGGACAGATTGATAAGGCGATAAGCGGCGCCGAGCGCTGTTCTGTGCTGTGCATCATCGGGTGCCTGTCTTGTAGGGACATGAGGAATCGAACTGTCACACACGTCTAAACCATCAGCCAGCAAACCGGGCATTCTTTGACGGAAAAGTCCATTGCGACTATCTCCACCCTGCGGCGGCTTATCAAGATAAAAATCAAGTCATCCTGATCTGCCGAGTAGACGCAAGGTCACAAGGAAGCCTCACGACGAAGCCGCACGTGATCTCCTTTCGTGGCCTCCAATCCAGCCACGGTCTTCATCTTCCGTCTCGGGCTCCATCGCCGAGTCGCAACGCTCCGGTTTTCTCTCCTCATTCCAGGCCCAGGATCCTCCGATCCTTGTCTACGTATCCCCCACCACCAATCCGATGCATCGCGCAGCCACCAGAGCGCTCCGTACGACCTACCGATGTACGGCGCGAACCTTGACTCGCAGTAGTCGACGAGGCCTCCTTCTGCCCCAACAGCCCTCTGCCGCCGTCGCCTACGGTGCTCGCCACTACCATCGCAACCCCGCGCGGTCGCCTCAGCACGCCGGCCACGCCATCGAGCCTCTCAAGTCCTCCATGTATATCCGCCGCTTCTCTGCCGCCTTCGTCTCCGGCCTCGTCGGTTACGGCGCTTGGTACACCTACAACGGCAACGGTACCGCCACCGACAGCCACGACGCTGTGGCCCGAAGCTTTGCGACGACGACCAGTGACGCCGCAGCCCCGACGCGGACGGTGCTCGTCATCGGCGCCGACGAGTTGCACACGGGCACCTACGTGGGCGAGGGTCCCATCTCCAAGACGACGGGCAACGACGGCAAGAGGGTTGTTGAAATGATCACTCCCGACCAGGCGACGGAGAAGCTGCGCAAGACGGAGCAGTCCTACTTCGTCAACAGAGGACAGGGTGTTCTGCGCTACGACCTGGTTCAGCTGCCGAGCAACGACCCCATCGAGGATGACCACGCGGAGAAGATTGTCGAGGTTCCCGGCCGCAACGGAGCCTCAGACGTGCCCAACAGTGACTGGATGTTCTGGGGTGTCTTTGACGGCCACTCGTAAGATCATCTTCTGAGCAAGGATGACAGGGACACGTGAGCTAACCAGTGCAGCGGATGGACGACATCGGCGAAACTCCGCCAAACTCTGATCAACACAGTGGCAAACGAGCTCAACGACACTTACAAGGCAGCGCCCGGCCACTCCCCTGCCGCCGAGGCTGTCGAGGCCGCCATCAAGGCAGGCTTCACCAAGCTTGACGACGAGATTGTCCACCAGAGTGTTGAAAAGGTTCTCAAGTCTGGCTCCAAGACTATGGCCGCCGAGCTCCTCCAACCCGCTCTCTCTGGCTCCTGCGCCCTCCTCTCCTTCTACGACAGCCGCTCCAAGCTTCTCCGCGTCGCTTGCACCGGTGACTCGCGCGCTGTCCTCGGCCGGCGCTCTGACTCGGGCAAGTGGACCGCCACGGCCCTCTCCGTCGACCAGACGGGCAGCAACCCCGACGAGGCCGCACGCATGCGCAAGCTGCACCCGGGCGAGGACCGAGTCGTCCACAACGGTCGCGTCCTCGGCGGTCTCGAACCGACACGCGCCTTTGGCGACGCTACCTACAAGTGGAGCCGTGACATCTCGATGCGCCTTCGCCAGGCCTTCTTCGGCCGCACCCCGTCCCCGCTGCTCAAGACGCCGCCCTACGTGACGGCCGAGCCCGTTGTGACGACGACAAAAGTCAACCCCGAGAACGGCGACTTCCTGGTCCTCGCCACGGACGGCCTCTGGGAGATGTTGACAAACGAGGAAGTCGTCGGCCTCGTCGGCAAGTGGATCGAGACGCAGGCCAGCGGCTCGTCGTCCAACTCGCAGTTCGACTCGACCTGGGCCCGCATCTTCGGCTCGGGCAACAAGCCCCAGCTCCCCGTCGAGCACGCCAAGGGCCAGGACGTCGGCGGCCAGAAGACGCCCATCCGCCTGCAGCAGTGGGGCATATCCCCCGACGCGCCCGAGCGCTTCGTCGTCAAGGACAAGAACGTCGCCACGCACCTCGTGCGCAATGCTCTCGGCGGCAAGAACGAGGAGCAGGTCACCGCGCTTCTGACGCTGCCCGCCCCCTTTTCCCGACGGTACCGGTACGTCATGCCCGCCTTCCCCCCCCCTGTTGCCCCTGGCATGCCTCCCTTGCTTCTTGTAGCCTGAGTGCTAACGAACCATGTCTACAGCGACGATCTGACCGTCCAGGTCATCTTCTTCGGCAACGGCAGCAAGACGGGCGAGGTCGTTGCCAACCTGGAGGCGACGGCGCCCGAGGAGCCCGTCAAGGCGAAGCTGTAACGAGCCCCTTTTTGCATCCCTAACCCCCTTCCCGTCGAGAAGCCACACTTTGATTTGTTGTGGCTGCTTTTTGTTTCTTCAGAAGGAAAAGCGCGGCGTTTCGCTGGATAGAGAGGCTGCACGGCGCGGCATGGAGCACGGGTGCGAGGGCACGCCATCTTCGCGCATCTTGGGTGGTGGAGGAGGGTGTCGTCGTGGTCATTGTAACATAAACAGCGTGTCCTTATTTTCTCTCTCTACGAATACAAGATCGACTGCTGCACGGCAGCGTTCGAATATTGTCATTATACTTCGGCCATTTTTAGTATCAAAAGTCAGCTCGCTGCCGTGTTTCGTGACGGGTGGTCCTCTTGGTAAGTCGGAACCTGATCACAGAGTCTTTAGTGGAAAACTGTCCCTTTTCATCCACGTTCGGGTAGCTCATGGTGGGCAGCTTTTAACTGCGTTGCGTTTGACCTGAAGTCAAGCTACGCGTTTCTTCCTTTCCTACCCATAGCTCTTCTATCGATACAGCCTTCCCCGTAGCCTCCTCCACCAGTCTCACTGTTGGTACAGACAATCTGGCAGCTCGACCCGACCTGTCACCCCCGAGCTAAACAGACTCTTCTTGATGGTTCATGCCTGACAATCTTGAGTACCGTGCCCTGCAATACCCTGAACGCCATGGTCCCCCCGCCCAGCGAGCTATCTCTCTTTTCCTAGCATCTCGTCCGCCACTTACTCCATCGCACCCATGTCTCAAGCCAGCCGAGCCGTTTCGTCAGAATCAGATGGAATTTCCCATCCGTGTGCTGATGCTGACCGCTTGAACGCCACGATAGCTTCATCAATGCCATAATCAGCAACCCTCGCCTGGTAGGGGGCTGAGTAGTCCAACCTCGCTGGATGCGGGTCCTCGCTAGACATCGCCATGCGGACCTGTACCAGGACATTTTCGAGGCTCGTGGCAGGAGACCATCCCGAGTTGGTCAGCAGCTCCATGCACATGGCGCCGCCGTTTGTGACGTGTCCCCCTCCGCCGGCCATGAAAGGCAGGAACCGAGGACGGATCACCCGCACAAAGGGCGGCGACAGAGGAAACGAGCGGCCGAATCGCAGCTCAAGAACAACAGACCGAGCACCCGCACTCTTCATGTCTCGGGCGAGACGGAGCATAGGGTCAAAGCTGTGCAGCTCGACGATCCAATGGAACAGGTTTTCGATGCTGTTGAAGTCAATATACCACCCCAACTCGTGGAGTGGTGTCGTCGCCTGGATCTTTTGCAGCTTCTTCAGTTCATGGCCCAGTGCCCGTCGACCACTGTCCATGGCCCAGGTGGGGACTGGAAGCTTAGGGAGAGACTTTATGTCAAGCGTTCCTGGTCGGAAGTCGGTTTTTCTGGAATTCAAGATGACAGCAGTTGTTGACATAGCTTCCGGTCCACCATTTTCGGGGCCGATGTCTCCCACACATTTTTCAAAATCGCAATCTTCCACAGAAGAATCGCCAGTCTCGACATCATCGAGAACCACATTCTCAATCGGGCTTGTGAGTTGTTGGCTTAGACGTGCGCCTGAGGAAGCTGTTTCGGGAATACCAACTGGGGCGCCGGCGCCGCTCACCTCCAACATTCTGGTCAAGGGGCCATATACCCGGTATTTGGGATCCTGTTTGAGATAGGCGGTGCCCGGTGCAACAGGAACCAGCTCAATGTCATCCTGGGGCTGCATAGCCGGGGCCGTGGCACTCTGTACAATCAGATATCGGCACTGTATCCAGTCGACATCCGCAACGACATAGTGCGGGTTGGTACTGACGAACGCATCGGGTTTATTCACAATCTCACAAAGGCTGATGACAGATAATGGCTGTAGCTGTGACCTGACCCAACCATACGTGCCTGTATATGCGGGTTGTGCTGCGTAGGAGCTGCTCGTTTCCCAATACGGGCTGAAGTAGACGCCGTTGCCGAATGTTCGACCATTGACAACCCTAGAGAAGTCCAGGCCTTGGCGAATAATGCTGTGCCAGTTTCCCAAGGAACTTCCGTGCCAAGCAAAGATCGTAGGGGCCGCTTTGGTCAATGAATTAGCTCTGACCGCCTCGATCAACCGCTGCTCCTTGTCTGGAGATCCTTGAGCAAATCGAAACTGGACGCATCGTGTGGAAATACCAGATAGCTTCTCGCACGCTCTACTCGACATGCTGTCTGTTGCGATGTTATCTGCAGAATCGATTTGCACAATCATGGATCGATTGGACGCAATGATCCACCTCAGCAGTGCCAGCGATGGTTTACCCATGCCAGGACAGTCTTCAATGGCGGCATTTGGCTTGCTCATGAGGTGTTGGCGCATGGTTTCAACGGCAGGCAAGCTACCAGTGATCAAGGCTAGAGAATGCGCCCTTTGATACGGGTTAAGCTCGCTGAGCTCATGTTCGAAAGGGTGTATGAAGTAGTCCTTTTTACCATCAACATGAATCGACGGATCAACTTTTGTAGAAGCTCCACTTGTTTGAGACGAAGAAGTGCTAGGGATGGTTGCAAAGCACTTGAACATGATTGCGTCCTCAACGTAGTCGAAAGATACTACGACGCAGTGATAAGTATCGAATCCAGCATCCAGTGACAAAGTTTCCACTCTGGCTAGGAGAAAGACATCCCCCAGATTCAGAGAGGATACTACCTCACTAATTGTACCATCCGTGCGGATTCGGAACAATTGACGCTGACTGAAGTCGACGATACATTGATTGGAATCTTCATCAATTGCTCTTGAGAAGATGGGCAACGGAAGGAGCAGATTCAACCCATCAGGAAATTCCCGGAGCTTGTTTTGCTGCAAGCTAATCATGAAGAATGTGATGAGGAGGTCGACGACGAGTGGTTGGCTGATGATCTGATGTTCGATACTGGGGCCAAAACCAAGAGACATGTACTGGTAGAGACAAAGGGGATTGTCGCACACATAAGGGGTAATGGCAGCAAAGGCGTCCGAAATCTTGAGATGGCAAACCATGCAGTACTTTGTACAATTGACAAAGTAACGCAGCGCGAACTGCATGGCAACCAAGGGGAGACTGCGCTCATGCTTCGTGTTAGACAGGTTGGATATCTCCAGCAGGCCGGAAGAGTCAGATCCAGGGTTCTGGATGACGTAGTCTTGGTTGAGTTTGTAGGGCGAGGTGGAAGAGATGAGCACTTCAGCCTCCTGATCTGCCGTTACAGCTTCCGGGGCACTCGTAAGACCCCGAAGGTGGTCGCTCTTCGAATGAGCTAGCATTGCGAGCTTCGCGTGATCCCATGATAGATTGGACTGGATTCGTAGCAATAACAATGCAGCAAATTCTTGTTCCATCCACAGATCCAACGAGTTTGACATGTAGAGGCGATCGAAATCGTCGTTGCTGTCGCTTGTGTCCTTCAGGGCCGTCCCTGCCTGATTTCGCTTGCTAAACGCAGCTTGAGCGGTCACCAAGGAGGGCTTGTAGGTCTTGCATTTTCCGACGCGGAACAGCATAGGCTTCTCCTTTCCCTGCATAGTGGCGAAGGTCTCGAGTGGGAGATAATACTCCTCATACGTGAAAAGGAGAACAATGTAGTCGGTCGGCTCGACATGCCAGGCTGTGAGCGTCTCCACAGAGAGGCCCAGCTTGCCGATTCTGAGGCTCAGCGAGACTATGTCATCGTTGGGCCAAAGGCCAATCCCGAAGCCAATCTCTCTTGCCTTGGCGAGATCCTCGCATAGGCGAACATTCCTCTTGACTTGGTTCTGGCTGCTAGCCGCGATAGGATGCAAGTCTATCCCACTTGCTGTGTTGTCGTGAATCTCGAGATCATAATCCTCAAATTCAACATCCGTGTCACCGTCGATCTCATCCTCAGGCCAAGAGTCGGTGGCATCGGCAACAGAGACATGGTCTTCAGATTGCTGCGCCGTGGCAGCCGACCCAAGCGCGGTTTCCAGCTGGTTCGAAAGGATCGCGAGGCTGTCGATCACTGACCTGCCTTGCGTCGAGTAGACAAGGCGGCCAAGGATACCCATGATACTGCTGGGAATACCATCGCATTCGGTGCTCCCGTGGAAGCCTTGATGATGCGGATAGTCGTCGACACTTGCAGTGGTAAGACGTAGAGATATCTGAGCCGCAGATCGATTACTAGTGTAGATGCAAACGACCTCACCGTCATCAGGGCCAAGGCTCACAGAAGAAATGCCTGGGATTGATATATTTATGGCGGCTGCCACATCGGCACGAAACTTGCGACGCGTCATCGCGAAGGCCAGCGTTACGTCGATAGAAACTGGTCAAGCTGGGAAAGACGTAATAGTAATACGAGGCACAAATCGTAGAAAGTGGAAATGTCTGGTAGGAATACAGGCCGTTGATGATAAAGACCAGCTGATGTATGAAGATTCTTTCTCGCGGGAAAGAGCCCCCACGGCGCTCCTGCTCTTTAAAGAGGCGACAAGGCTGTGAAATCACGAGTGAATACAATGCCCCGGTGTGCTCCTGACAAGAGTCAGGACACAAGATAAGATGAATGCGGTTGCAGTGCGTTAAAGAAGTGGCTGAGTCGGTCATGTGAAGACGATTGATTCTGCTATTGATTTCCAGATTGACTTACCTTTGACAGGCTCGACGTCTCGTGCAGACTAGGCATACCATCTAAAGAAAATCTCGTCCGGCACATTCAGCTGCGCCATATGAGATGGAAGACCCGAGAAACATCTGTTGACAGGAAACAGTCGGTCAATATTGACTAAGATCCCGCGGTTGCGAATCTTGCGCAATGTCGGAGCCACTGCGAGAGCCCACGATTGACGACCTGTCTCAAGGCTGCGCGATGCAACTCGACGTACGCTCTTGGAGATCTCAACGCTGAGGTCATCATCAGTCGAGTTTTGATACAACAAGTACATCTTGCCTTTCCCGTACGAGGTAGATGCGACAAGGACATGCTCAGATCTACTTGCATATGTAGAGTCGAGCTTGATCTGGATCCCGGTCGAAGAGGTTGGCTATCAGTTACATGCGCTCTCCCCTGGAAGCATGCCCACTTGGGTGCAGCAACAAGAATCCGCTGCTAAGTATTCAAGTAATTCACATTGAGTCCCGAATTGGTTTGAAGTACTGTTACATGACACGTTAGTGTCGCGGTCGGTCTGACAGCCTGTCAGTGCGGTTCAGCTCGCATGTCCACTCAGGAGCGACGTCTCTTTTGCGACTTGTGATGAGTCCACCCTCGACATCACGTCCTGATCAACGAAGAACAACACTCACACATGACACACTAACAGACGTCGCCGTGACCAAAAACAGCTTCTATATTCATCTCTAGTATTTTCACGTGTGATATCGGCCCAATTAGCCACTTAACCCTCCGATCGTCGGCACTTCGTTCTCATCCCGCAACAGTCTACGCTTGTGATCAATGACTCCAGAGAAGCCATTGAATATATGGAGGGTCTGGCCCGGTTGTGTATAGCAAAAAAAAAAAAAAAAGAAGAAACAAAGACAGACAGAAATGGGAGTACGAAGGGAACCATGAGTCGAGGCCAGGCTAAATTTCAGGACGCGTCTAACAAATCCTCGTTAGAGACACCCCTTATCAGGACAGACCCGTGTTCCCATGGTCCCCCCCGCCATAGTAATAGTTTTTAGGTGTAGCATAATGACCAGCAAGCTTGTTGTTGCAGTGGCCTAGTGACCCGGAGGCCGAGTCAGCCCCGCGCAGGGAGGGCGCATTCGGGGAGGATTCCGAAGAAGGACGGCAAAAGACCAGCGCACGGAACGGCATGGCACAGCACGGCCTCTCCACGGCTTCCAAGAGCACGAAGGGTGTAATATGCGGTAAGTCCTAGAGAACGCCTCTAGTGTGAGACAGGGCAGCTTTAGTTTGACGTAAGAGCATCTGCGCGTGCGACTCCAGACAAAATCCCTTCCAATGCACTTTCCAGATCCAGAGTATCTCGTTGTAACGCCGGGGTTGTGAATGCTGCTTGAGGTGTGGTGGTGTGGGTGCAAGGCTCCCTCCGTTGATCAGTTGTGCTGGAAGAGAACGCTGATTGATTCGCCGTGGTGGACGCGGCGGATCGCCTCGGCGAAAACAGGAGAGACTACGGGTAAGGTTAGTGGGGGATGCCCCGGACGGCCCGGCATGGCGTGAAGGTCTTACCGTCCAAGTACTCAAGCTTGGGGCACATTTGCCTATGTTCCCTTTGAGGAACAGTGTTGGTCACGATGATCTTATCAATGGCAGAGGCATTGATGCGGGCAATGGCGTCGCCGCTGAAGATGCCGTGGGTGAGGAGGGCTGTGATGGAGGTGGCGCCTTCCTTCTTCAGGAGCTTTGCGGCACGGGTGATCGTGTTACCAGTGTCGACAAGGTCATCGATCAGGATGCACGTCCTGTCCTTGACGTCACCGACCAGCATCATGCTGGCGTTGCGTTGTTCGCTGTACTTTGTTGGACGGCGTTCCTGGCCGCAAGTCAGCATGCCACTCCGATTCGCTGCACGAGCAGGCCTACCTTGTGGATGAGAGCAAAGCCCATGTCCAGCTCGTCGGCGACGGCAGTAGCGCGCTTGGCGCCTCCAGCATCCGGACTAATAATGACGGCTTCCCTGTAGTTGGGAATGTTCTGCTGGATGTACTTCTTCAGGAGAGGCTTTCCATAGAGGTTGTCCACCGGCACGTCGAAGAAGCCCTGGTACTGGGGATCGTGGAGGTCCATCCTACAGTAGTCAGCCATCCGTCCGGAAACGAGTCCGGAATTGAGTTGCTGATTGCAATGGGCACGTGGCCCCACGGCAGAGAGTATGTATTCACGAGGAGGCATGCATGAACAAGATGGCTACAGGAAGACCTACGTGATCTGGACGTCATTAGCAACGTTCCACCACGAGTTGGTCTTACGACAAACCCGAGATTGGCGTGAGGGTTCAAAGGAGACTCACCACATGGTCGGCGCCGGCACAAGTCAGCAAATCGGCGACGAGGGTGCCGGCCTGGGCGACCCATTGCTTGTAGCCAGGCTTGACCTTGAAGTTGGCCAGAGCGCTCTGATTGTTTCCCTGGTCGTGGGTGGTGAAGCTGGGTTGCGACGACAGGGAGCCTTCTTGTTGGTGACGGCCCGGGGTCTTGGGATCGCCGTTTCTTGAGTAGCCATTGAGGTTGTTTTCGGCCAGCTTGGTCCTAGCAAGCTTGGAGTCGAGGCCCTCGATGCCACTGCTCAGCGTCTGGGTCCTCGAGATGCCCGGACCAGGCGTAGCAGGGACGCTTTCGAAGGTATAACTCCCATTCTGGGGGTTTTCGGGCATCTTGAGCGGGGCACCGATCTTGTTGTAAGGTACGTCGGGCTGACGCGAGTAAGGGAACAGCGGCGTGATGGCGGTGACTCGCTTCGCGGAACCGGTCTTGCAGGCGGAGATCATGATGCAGAGGTCAATGAAGCCGTCGTTGACGGAGCCGGAGGCGGACTGGACAATGTACACATCCTTTCCTCGGACGGAATCCTTGATTTCGCATCTGCTCTCACCAGCCGAGAATTTTGTGAGAATGCGCTCGCACGAGGTGACGCCGAGTATGTTGCAGATGTTGTCAATCAGCTCCGGGTGGGAGTTCCCGCCGAGGATGACAATGTTGCGAACCATAGTGTCTTCGCGAACGTGTCAGAGACGGTGTCCGAGAAGCAGGGTTGGACCGAGCCTACCTTGCGGTCCGCTGGGTGTTTTTGTGGTAGGTAAGGGAGAAGCGATGCCGTCAATGAGACGCCTTTCGTTCCGGGGGGTCGGAAGTCTTGGAGGAGTTTGGCGGTGTTCAATGCGCCAACTGTGCCAGGACAATGGAGTTTCCGTGTAGACAGGGCGATCAGACTTGTCGTCGTCGTCGACGGTGAAGCAAGATTTGCGTCTTCGCGATGGTTGTCGGTGACCGGCGGGGCGACGTCAGAGGAGCGAAAGTGAGCAAAGAATGCCGAGGATCGGAGTAGGACGGATGCGGTTCGAGGCGGGCCGAGACGGACGAATTGGTGACGTACGGAAAAGCTTCCCTCAAAGAAGAATTATTGTCAGAGAGGCAGCATGGCTCGGGGGGGCGGTTTGCAGTGTGATGCCGGATTGATCAATGACTGATCTGCAGTCGGCAAAACAGCCAAGTGGAAAAGGCTGGGTGACTCGGTGAGGAGAGGGAGCGGGTTAGATGTATGCGCGGCGAGGGAAGAAAAAAAGCTGGAGTCTCGAGCTTGGTGGGGTCCTGGTTCCATGTGCCATTGCCATGGCGGCATGTACAATGTACCCAGTGTCAAGGTAGGTGCTACCAGGGTGCAAAGCGGAGATGCAGCAGGCCCTGGCGGCACCGCAGGCAAGGGCAGCCGGTTGCATGCAGGCAAATTTTGCGCCATCTGCGTCATGGTCTTCGTGATCACACTGTATTTAGCCTGTCTTCAGCTGGCTACAGGGGGGATGCTCAGCGAAGCATGGTGCTGTGAGATTAATGTTCCACCGTGCATCTGCGAGACACTGGCACGCCATCCTTCTCATTCTGCCCCTCCATGCTGGTCGTCCTTGTCCCCCACCAGCCCACCAGCCTGACGATCTGGAAACCCGACAGAGCGAAAAGTCCACCACTGACCCGATTGGCGATTGTCATCACGCGCATGCGTCTCTTTACTTTGAGCCACCTTGAGCAGCGCGACACTTTCAACCGTGTTGAGATCGTCGATATTCACTCCGAGTTGCTGAGTGCCAGCTACACCGACTTTGAGGGGTCCTTACAAAGCGAGCCTCCTAGCCTTCACCAGCTGCATCTTGCTCAGTCTCCCTCGCGTCACATCCTTCGGCTGGTCAGGCTTCTCAAACACACCCTTTCCTAGGTAGGTGAGTCAGTCATTGCTTCAGTCACTCAACAGGTAGTCTGTGAAAACACGAACAAGTACTGCGTGACGAATCCCATTCCTGTGATTCGGATGGGCAATTGAGCACACCCGGACGACTAACATTCTTCATCAGCCAGCGTCACCATGAAGATTCTCGAGGCTCAGTCGGCCGTCCTGACCAATTTCGAGGTCTACCACCATGTCGTCAACCAGCCTCAAGGCAGCAGGCGAGCCGGGAAAAAAGGCCCGACAAACTACGAGACTTTGCATCGAGAGGTATGCCCAGTGAAGGAAATATGTATTCATCTTTAAACAAAACGCTAATCCGTCAAGCTTGTTCATTATCTCACCACCATGCCAAACCCCCTCGCCCAGCGGCCCCTTCCCTACAGCCAAGACTGCATCAAGCAGCTGATCCAGCGCCTGCACCCCTACGAGCTTGCCAAGGGCGAGATGATGATGATCTTCAATCTGCGCCCGGCCTCTGCCTCCGCTCTCAACACCATCATCGAGGACATGGAAGATCGCTTCGACGAGGACAAGCAGGCCGAGATTGTCGACATTATCGCCGAGGTTCTCGGAACTTTCCCGCCTGGGGGCGCTGCTGGAGCCGCAGAGGCCAACGGCCAGGCCGAGCACGGGACGTCGTAGTTCTACATCCCAGACCGCCGATGGCGCCACGTCGACCAGTCGTCGTCGACCCCCAGCACGTGGAGCGACTGACGCAGCATTATGAAATGACGGCCTCCGCAGCGGTGCCGATCGGCGGCCTCACATGAGCGTGCAGCCGCCCTCGCTCTGGCCGCCTGCTGCAGATGTCGTCTTGACCGCCGTGGAACAGATGTCTTCAAACGCCGGCTTCAGGAGCTCACCTGTAACGGCAGAGCACTCCATGTACCTGTCGACGCGCATCTCCTGCGCTTGCGCGTACGCTTCCTGCGGCAAGATGATGCCGTTGGGGTCGGTCTCGGATCGCAGGTCTCGCTTGAGGCCGAGGACCAGGATAGGGAGGTTATCAACTCGCTGGAAGGCCATCTTGACCTCTCTCAACCACTGCCAAGCGCGTCAGAGTACGGCTCGCCCCGTAGGGAAGACGATCACCACTCACCACTCTGCGCGTGTTGATGAGACTGAGTCGCTGGCTTATGTCATAGCAGATGACTACGACATCAGGGTCGAGAAGTTTCCAGCTGTCCGGGCTGTTGTTGTCGTAAAACTCAAGCCGATAGGGCCGTGTGCCAAGTTTGATCTCAAAGATAAAAGGCTGGTCAATGTCGCGGAGCATAGTCACTGGGCCGGTTCCCTCGCCAGCACTGATGCGTCTGGCGTGTCTGCCGAGTTAGCCGCGTGCCGGTGGTGGTGGTGCTGAAGCGAGGAAAGCATCGGCCTTCTGGGCAGAGCGGGGTGGGAACGGAGGGTTACGTACGACAGGAAAGACGTCTTGCCACACTTCTCATCCCCTACGAGCAATATGGTGACTGTTTCAGTATCCATTTCGTCCTGTGTTTCTACGTAAAGTGATGAGTGAGTCTGGCGAACAAATGGCGCAGGCTGAAGGGTGAAGCCATGTCGTTCGTTGATGGGCGCCGAAGATAGGGACGTATCAGCCACACCAATTGATTTCTAACACAGCCACTTGATGTGGCTCGAGCGCCTCCTCTCAACTCACTTCGAGGCTCTTGCTCTCGACGTTTTTTAACGACATCCAACATGTATAGAGAGAGAAGAAAAAAGTAGTGCTCGTTGCTTGATGAATTCTTTCTATTGCCTTGTATCTCGAACACGGGCAGACCTTTGATGAAGGCTGCGAGTCTCCTCTCGGCGGCCGAGTCCAGCGTCCTGCGCCCTAGACTCCATTTCTCGTCCTCCCCTCACATCACGAGAATTTTACCTTCATCGCCATCGTCTACATCCCATCACCAGACCCGGCGCACGCAGTCGTCCACCGCCACCATGTCCAACAACGTCAGGTACGACACCTGGGACAAGGAGCGGCTCATCTGCCGCGTGCGGCAGCTCGAGATGGAGATCCGCCACCGCGACGCCGCCGCCAAAAAAGCCGTGACACTGACGCACTCGGCCCCCTCGACACCCGGCGGCGACTCGTCCTCGGCGGTGGCAGCGCCGCCGCCTGCGAAGAAGCGCAAGAAGGGAGCCGCCAACATCGATCCTTCGCGCTACTCGTACCGCTACGTCGCCCTGCGCCTCGCCTACCTCGGCAAGAACTACAACGGCTTTGAGCACCAGCAGTCGGCCGTGCAGGCGACGATTGAGTCGGAGCTGTGGTCGGCCCTCACCAAGGCCTGCCTCATCTTCCCGCCCGGCGAGGACATTGACCAGATCGACTTCAACTACAAGGAGCTCGACTACTCCAAGTGCGGACGCACGGACAAGGGCGTCAGCGCCTTTGGCCAGGTCATCGGCCTCCGCCTCCGCAGCAGCAAGCCCCTGCCCAAGACAGCGGCCCAGCTCGAAGAGGAGGCGCGCAAGAAGGCCGAAGCCCTTCAGGAGAAGCAGAAGCAGCAGCAGCAGGACGGTCAAGGGGACGTCAGCATGGAGGACGCCGCAGCCGAGCAGCAGCAGCAGCAGCTGCCATCACCTCCTCCCGCGCCCAAGCCCTGGGACCCCATCAAAGACGAGCTCCCCTACTGCAAGACGCTCAACCGCCTGCTGCCGCCCGACATCCGCATCCTGGCCTGGTGCCCGTCGACGCCCGAGGGCTTCTCGGCGCGCTTCTCCTGCACGGAGCGCCAGTACCGCTACTACTTTACGCAGCCGGCCTTTGCGCCGGCGCCCGAGGGCCTCACGCCGCCCAAGGGCCCCTCGCAGCCGCGCAAGAAGAAGGACGCCGCGCCGCCGCCGCCGCCGCGACCCAAGGTCGGCTATCTCGACATTGACGCCATGCGCGCCGCCGCCAAGAAGTTCGAGGGCCTGCACGATTTCCGCAACTTCTGCAAGGTCGACGGCGGCAAGCAGCTGACGAACTTTATGCGCCGCATGTTCGAGGCCGACATTGTCGAGGTCGACGACGTCGCGTCGGCGGTGCCGTACCTGTCCGGCGCGGCGTTTGCGCAGCCCGAGACGGCAGCGCATGGTGGTGGTGATGGCGGCGGCGGCGGCGGCGTGACGCCCAAGGTGTACTACCTGCACGTGCGCGGGTCGGCGTTCCTGTGGCACCAGATCCGGCACATGGTCAGCGTGCTGTTCCTCGTGGGCCAGGGGCTCGAGCGGCCCGAGGTCGTGGACGAGCTGCTCGACGTCGAGCGGCACCCGCGCAAGCCCAACTACGGGCTCGCGCACGAGGTGCCGCTCGTGCTGTGGGACTGCATCTTCCCGACGGACCGCAGCGTGCCCGAGGGCCAGCAGGCCGACGGCATGGCGTGGGTGTGGGAGGCGGGCGAGAACAAGTACGGCGCCGGCGGCCTCGTCGACGTCCTGTGGGCCGGGTGGCGCGAGAAGAAGATGGACGAGCTGCTGGCCAACAGGCTGCTCGACCTCGTGTCGCTGCAGGGGTGCCCCGAGGCGGACCCGGCGCAGAACGTCAAGTGGAACGTGCTGCAAAAGGTCTACGTCGGCGGCAACGAGGGGCGGCTCGCCGGCGAGCACCTGCCCCTGATGAAGAGGAAGGTGGTGCCGTCGCCGATGGAGATCAACGACCGCTGGGCGCAGCGCATGGGCTACGGCTCGTCCGAGGAGCTGCTGAAGGAAGAGAACTGGCGCGTCTCCTTGGCCAAGGACAGGCGGGCGAGACGGGAGGGCGGATCGGGGACGGCGACGCCAGCGGTCCAAGAGCCGGAGGCATGACACTCTGCATCCGAGGTGGACGATCAAAGATACAATAAAACATAGTGGCGGTTCCTTCTGATAGCAATCCATTTGCCGTTTCACATGTTTAGATATGTATGCTCTTACTTCGCCATGCCGAGTACTTGGGTATATTCCTTCCTGTCTCTCTTCTCGAGTGTTCCACGTCAATGCTTGCCGCCTTCCTCCCACAAACACCCCCTCACGCCCCTCCAAACCGTCTCGACGATCCTCCGCCGCGGCAAGAGCCCAGAAAACACAACGACAAGTTCGCCCTCCCCTTCGACGACGACAACAAGGTAATGGCGGACCTCGAACCCCCGAAACGCCTCGTTCACGAGGACATCCCTGATCTTCTCGGTCGGTATGAACCGCGTGGCCGTGCCCGCGAGGTAGCTGCCCGACGACGACGACGTCTGGATGCCGAACCCGCGCAGCACGAGCAGGCTCTCCGTCTTGTGGACGCGGCGCAGAGAGGCCCAGAGCAGCACGACGGCCGTCGGGAGCAGCAGCACCAGCGGGGTCGTGGCGGCGAGGCGGCGCGCCACGACGCCGGGGGGCGAGAGGGCGACGCTGTGGAGGGCGCGCAGCAAGGTCGTTGTGGAGAGAAGAGGGGCGTCGATCGCTTTGGACGGTGCCGGAACGGCATATGGCGAGAGGAGGTAGATGGACCAGAGGAGCAGCAGGGAGAAGCCGCCGACGACGAGACGCAGGGGCACGAGGGCCAGGAGAGCGAGGCGCAGCGGGAGAGTCGTTGGTGGTCGGGTCGTGACGGTGAACTCGGCAGTCGTAGGCGAGGGTCTGCGTATGAGCAGGTGGGGCGCTGTCGTGAGCATCGTGCCGCTGGTTCTGTGGTCAGGAACCGCTGCACCAGATCATCGAGGTACGTAGTAGGGAATTGGATCGACCTAGGCGACGACTGTGATGATGCGCTCGTTGTACTCCTGGCTAGAAGAAGCTTTGTCAGGGATTTACAGCTGTATAGCTGTCCGCGACTTCAATTTGCGGAGCGATACGAAGTCTCATGGAGGCATTGCGAAGCTACCCATGATGAAGCTGTTCGAGATGGTGGGCCGTCAGTTGACAGCTTGAGAGGGAAGCTGAGGTACCTACCTACATGGGACCTAATCGACAGCGCCCTCGGTGGATGACTAATCAAGCCTTGCCCCAGTACGACTGGCCTTCCTTCGGTAAGCATCATAGCCGCCCGTGGACATGACAGGACGGAAAGCGAGGTAACTCCAATGACAGGCTTGACAGGTAGCCCAGCCTTGTATTGGGACTATTTTCTAAGCCGCAAATCAACATTGTTCTGGTTCACTCAGTACTGGACTCGGACCTTGCTGCAAGCACCACTGTTCGAGGTGGGGTCCACCTTTCCATGTCGGTACTGACTAAGCATCTCACTGGCCATGAGCTCTGGGTCTATAAACCAGCCAATCCGGCTTTTCTGCCGGCTGTAATGGCCCAACGGGGAAAGCTCTCGCAATTCTCGTCCGGACTGATCCAAACCCAGTTCGAACCCCCCAGCTGGCGCCCAGCACGAATGCCGCGGTGGCCGTCCACTCGCTTGGGTAACCAGCGATGCTGCGTGCGGCCCTAAGCAATGAAGGTGACACTTGAGGGAGGCTTCACTCTGCAGAGGCACCTTCACCGTCGCATGGCGTGCTGGATTACGATCGCTGGGGGCTTGGGTTGGTCGGACGAGGTGGAGATGACGACTTCTTTTTGATTTTGATTTTCCTTTATCATCTTCAACCCTCCCTTCCCCCCCCCCCCCCCCCCGACCACGACTTGCTCTCCGCTCTTTGGATCTGTCTTTCGGAACAGCTGCTTCTGGAAAGATCTTACCATTCGCCATGTTCGACTACCTGTCCGTTCGCTGCAGTGACCGACCTTTTGACTCAATCTAGCCAATGCACGTCATCTTCATTCACCTCCATCATCACCTCGGCATGGGCAAAAGTCGGGCCAAAGCAGACATGTTGATTAAGCACCGTACCATATTTCCCACACAAAGATGCCGCGAGGCAACGATGTAAATCCATTTCCCCTTTCCCTACGGCCTTTTGAATTTTGCCCTTTTCTCCTCCGTCTTCCCCTCTCCCTCTTCACCTTGGTCATATCAGTCATGAAGTGAACGAGCACAAAAGTCCATTCCGTCGTCTCCGAGCAAATCGCGTGCCGTGAGAGCCACATCAAGGAAAGTAAGAAAAGTTAATACAGCCGCACTGCTTGCACCGCGCACACACACAGGCCCCCCATACCCCGCCAACTGTCATAGTGCCCTGTCCAGGGTCTGCGTCTTCGTCTGCCGTACTGAAGAGTGCTGGACTGCCATGAATATCCTTTGCTCAGCAACTATCTACGCGTGGTGCATGCGTGCCCCCCGCCGAAGCGAAGGCTGGTATCGAAGAAATGCCTTGGACGCCAATCGCCATGCAAATGAATCGAAGTCGTTTATCGTTTGTGTTTCAAAGTCTGAAGGAAGCAAATAAAGGAAATGCGCGCCTGTGAAAAGACGCCCACTTAGATCATCTCGCTCTCGTGCAGCCCAGTCGGTAGACCCTGCTGGTCGGACATGATGGGGGACCGTAGCAGGTCATGTTGGCCGTACCCTCCAGGCATCGGCACGCTCTCGTATGGAGCGATCGTCTGACCACCGTCGAGTCCAGGTGAGCGGATGCGCACCATGCTCGAGTCTTTTCGCGGACGGCTCGCCGACCGGAACCGCTCTGTCGCCTTTGTGAACCGCGTCGAAATGCTGCTGTCCTTGTCTCGGTACTCTCTTTCACGCTCCGTAAAGCTGCGTCCGCGAGAGTGGTGCCCTTTGCCGGAAGGCACCGGAGGCGCTGCCAGAACAGGAATGGATGTGTCCACAAGCGTGGCCACAGGCGCCTGCTGCTCGTCGTCGTCCACAACAATCTCAATCATACCCGTTCCAAGTGCGCCAGCGCCGGGTTGCATGAAGTGCGGCAACGGTGCTGGGGGTGGTGGGGGAGGCATCGCCAGGTGTTGTAGCTCCTTGAGCATAGGGGGTGGTGGCGGCGGTGGCGGCATATTGTCATCGTGGGATGCCCTGCGATACTCGCTCATGCTTCTATCGCCCAGCATCTCGTCAATGCCCCGAATTTCGCCAGTGGATCCCTTCAGCATCGAGTGGCCTCGAGAGTGCGTTCGCCCATGGCTCTTGCCAGCCGGCGGTGGCATGTCTGACCTGCGTCGACCCAGAGGCTCATCTGGGATGGGTGCTGACATGCTGCGAGGAATCATTGGCCTGGTGGGAGGCTGGTAGACCGTCGACGGCAAGAGAGTGAGCGGCTCTGCCTCCGGCTGTCCAGACTCTACCTTGGCGTGCGGCTCATTTGGTGACGCAGTAGGCGAGTGTCGCTGAGCGAATGTCGCCGGAATGGGAGGCATTTCAGGCGGCGTTGCCTTGTCAGAGCCGATAATAAGACGCATGGCTTTTGGAGTTGCTGGGAGGCCAATGTGCACACTCTGACTGCTGCGGGCATACATGCTTCGAGTGGGATCGGCCGTCTTGGAACGGGGAGAGCTTTCCATCTGAGTCGAGGCAGGAGCCTCGACGATTTGCGACAGAGCCGGAGAAATGTCGTTGGGATGGGGGATCAGAGGTGCTAACGGCCGCTTCGCGAGCGACTTGCGGCGCTCCTCGAGCTCACGGGCGGCCTGTTCTTTCTTGCGCTGCCTCTCGTCCTTCATTGCCTTGAGGTCGCCAGCGTGCTCAGTGGAGGGCGCGGCCCGGACCATGACAGTCTGCTTTGGGTGCTCGGGAGACGCCGTCGCAGGGCGGCGGCGACTCTCGGATGGCTCTTGCCTAGCTAGGTCTGGAGATCTAGGTTCAATCTGGCTGGCGCTACGGTTATGGCGCAGGCGGAACTTTTCCTGCGCCTCAACGGCCTTCCGGTAATCTTCTTCATCCTCAGAGCCATGGTAATGGATGGCCCCCGCAGACATTGGAACGGGTGAGGACGGCGATCTGATTGCAGATCCTTCACGGCCCTTGCTGCGACCTCGCAAGTCCAGCGCAGGAGGTCGATGGCGAGCCTCTGGACTCGTGCGACGGGTTTGACTGCCGCGACTGGAAGTCCTGCTCTTCGGTTGCCGGCTGCGACTGCTCTGACGGGATTTGCTGCTCTTTCTTGCGGTGACGGGATCTTCACCCATCCTGTCCAGCATCTTGGGGGTGCTCAGGTTGATGAGGTCCTCAGGCGACATTGGAATAGGTGATGTTGGTGACCGCTTGGCCTTGGGCCATTTGCGGCTCGCGGAGCGGCCGCGATCCCCAGAGCGTTCCCGCGACGCACCCTTACGAGTACGCGACCGGCTGCTCTCTCGCTCGCCTCGTCCGCGAGACTCTTGACGGCCTTCCCGGCTGCTGTGGCGGCTACGCTGCTTCTTGCCATACAACTGAGCAGTGTCGAGGCTGTGAATGTAATCCTGGCGAGTAGCACCAGTAGTGTTGCTGCGGTGGCTCCTGCCGGTGCTAGACTGAGACGTGATGGAGCTTGCCACAGAGCCTGGACCACGGCGCCGCGATGGCCAGTGGAAACGAGTCGATGATGTTACCGATTGTTCAGGGGACGTGACTTCTCCGATCATCGGGTGCTCCATAGGCTGCAGCTGCAGCTGAATACCTTTGGGGATGCGGTCACGAGAACCGTTTCGTCGATTCACGTTACCTTCCATCTTGACGGTCACAAGAGCGTCTGGAGATGGCGGTGCCTGATCTCTAGTTCGCAGCCTTCGCGACGGTTTCGGGTAATCACGCATCATCATTGGGCTAGCGGTCGCGGCGCGCTGAAGTGAGAGGCCAGCAGCCAATGTTTCCTGGTCAGAAGACGACATTCGCGTGTGTGCAGCTCGGCGAGCCTCGTTAGGGTCGACGGGAGTAGCGGACGCCTCGCTCCGCTTCAGATCACGAGGTAGATCTGAAGGGATCTCGCCGATAGATGGAAGTCGTTTACGGCCAAATGCAGACGTGTTTGACCTAGCCGAGTTGGGCGTGTTAAACTGACTCCTGTTGGACGGGCGGATGAACGCTGTGGTAACATCAAAGCCTCCAGGGGAGACGGCTGACTCGGCAATAGGGGTCACGCCAGCAGCGATGGGAGTCTGTCCGCCGTCTTGTTGCGAGAAGAACTTCGACTTGGCTCCGCCCTGGTCGCCGAACGATGTGATGAGTTTGAGGGCTGATGTTTTCGCAATGCTACGCTGCGGTCCGCGGGTGATCCCAGGTGGCGAGAGTGGGGGTGAGAGAATCTCTGGGATGCTTGGGTTCACCGCGGCATTGATGCTTTGAAAGTTGACCTGGGCAGCCGAGGGTGAGGTCCATGGTTCTGAAGACTCCTGGCCAGTGCAGGCAAAGCTAGAGGCATTTGTCAGTACAAGATTCAGATCTGAGGTCGGCGCAAAGGTCTCACCATCGCACTGCGAGCTGAGTTTGCCCGTGCATCACAGCCCATTCTCCCCACTTCTTGATTAGAGCTGCTTGGCGCTCCCAAACTGCCGGATAGAACAAGCACATCAAGATCAAAGCTTCCATGTAGCGCTTGTGCGAGACATAGATCTCGATGGCATCATTGTGATCACCCATGCCAATGAGGATGGTGGCGGCAGCATGAATATCGCCCGTCTCGAGCAGTCGCTGGACGTAAGCCAGGCCGAGCTTATGTTGAGCCTGTTGCGTGCCTTTGCCCGCAATACCGCTCAGCGCCAAAAGCATCCAGTCAGACGAGGTCATATTTTCGGAGTTGGCGGCCAAGATGTCAGGATCAATGTCGCCTAGCCATTTGGACAGGAGGATCCGGCTGGCCGAGCCGGCGGGGTGCCGACTCAGCTCATCGCGGACCAGATCATCCATCTCCCTCTGCCAGCCGAAGATGGTGCTAAGCATCTGGCGACGCAGGTCATCGTTCGTCAGACGACTGGACTCGGCAGCCACGTTTTTGTAAGGAATGTCGCTCAGGCGGCTGCGAGTATACTGGAAGAGGTCGTGAACCTTGGAGTCTTCTGGGCTCCGCAAAACTTCGTGGCGCAGACGCGACGGCTTTCTGCGAGACCTAGTCGAAGAGAGTGACGTGCCACTCAAGCTACTGGTCGAGTAAACGTCTCTTTCCCTTTCTCTGTAGACGGGAGCCTGCGAAGAGCGCAGAGATGAGGCACCAGACGAAATGTAAGTGTTCTCGGTCAGGGGTCGAGACAGTACTGAAGACGGGTATCTACCGGGTGTTGCAGAGCCCGCAGACGATCTTGAGAGAGACGAGAGTCCGCTGCGGCTTGAGACAGGACTGGCAGTGTCGTAGCGGTCAGCGGCATTGGAGGGGGCGGGCTCAGCTACGCTCTGGCGGACTATGCGGCCGAACGGCGAAAGGTGATCATCATCACTCTCTGAGACCCCCTCGATAGATGCCGACGTGGCATCCGAATCCGTGGCAATCGTGGTAGCGCTTCGAGCCGACTGGTCAGCCTGCTCCTCAATAGACACAGGTGGCGACGGTGGCAATAGGTTGGCCGGATGCTGGACATTGGCGACAATGATCGACGGGACGTTAAGGTCAAACTGCTGCACCGTGTTGTTTGCGCCGAGAGTAAAGAGGCTTGCGCCAGGACCATAGACAGCAAGGCCCCGTACAATATCCAGGGTGGGGATCCTATCATAAGTGACGTGTTTTGTCCTGACATCCCATGAGGAAGTCTCCCTATAATGTGAAGAATGATTAGCGTCATGCACTTAGGCGCGCGGCTGTGGTCGCAGTGGCGATAAGGGATCTTACGAGTCCGAGTATTGGATGATGCGACCGTTCTTTGACCACGCCATCCAGTTGGGACCAGTGATTTGGTTTTCAGTTCGCCTCAATATCCTGACCACCTTGGCTGGGTCGTCACTATTGTACGACTTTGAGACGCTCCAGACCCGAAGATCACCGTCATGGGTCTGGACAGCCAGCATGTCCGACTTCTGCCGGGATGAAGAAGCGTGCCAGTTCAAGGTGACAATGGGCGAAGGCGCTCTCGAGGTGGTAAGATTGTGAAGAATTGTGAATCGTGGCTGGAGAGTGGCTATTAACAGCGAGCCGTTTTGGTAGCTGGAGTCAGGTTAGCAGCGTGAGCTTGGAGGCGTCCGAGCCATCCAGGGCACTCACCCTATCGCAAATGTCCTGCAATCAGCCGCTGGAGCTAGAGAGGTGACAGCAATCTGATCTATAGTTCTCGCAGAGATGTGCTCTGATGTTGTGGGCTCGAAGAGGATGATGTTGCCTTGGGTATTGCCTACGACAGTGTAAGTCGCAAGCTCTTCAGGAGCAGGAAGCGGGGATGGACGACGTACCGAACGCAACATTGCCGTTGCGCATCCAAGCAGCTGTGGTCAAGTGCTCATACGAGGCAAATCGAGCTACTTCGTCGCCGGTCATGAGGTCCCAGACAATAGCTGTCTGTCCGGCATCATAACTCACAACCAGTCGTCCAGCGCCCATTTCACTTTGGTTATCAACGGCGAGCAACTGAACTTCGTCTGAATGCCGAGAAAACCTCCTCTCAATCGTGAGGGTATCATGATGGGCGCATACGACTGAAGACCCTTGCGCATAGAGAAACATGGAGGCTGTAGCAGCGCATGGCTCGAAAAAACGCTGAATGTTTTGGGGTGACATGGTGAAATCTTGCATCTGTGTGCCTCGACCCCTCGACGACCTTCCAGAGCTAGCGGTGGCAGTGTGGTGCCTAGCAGAGATGGGGGCGGACATGACGGGCCTGATATTCTTTCGAAATCTCGATCTGCACGTGCAGTTAGCCGGCGAGTTGCAGGGTGGAAGAGATTCCCAAGGGAGCAGGGCCTGCGAGCGATCTACTTCTTCCTGTGCACTCCCAGAACACTTTGGATAGTGACGGGGTAGAAGAGGTCGCCGCAGTGAGCTTTGTGGGACTGATTACGTACCAATCCGCAGTCGATCAAGAGCCCGGTCGGCCAATTTGTGACGAAGTAGGAAACCAACAGGACGTTGGCTACACCTTTTCTTCTTGGACCATCACGTGGAACGCCGCAATGTCCGTTCCCGGACCAAATAACCCTCCACGTTTCGGCAGACCAAATTGACGGGACTTATTCTTGTGCGGGCCTAACTTTGAATGGCGGTGGGATCGGTTGCTTCTAGCCGTGGCTACTGCTGTTGTAACCCGCGATGGCTGCAAGCGCTTTCCTCAACCTGGGCGAGTTGGTTTGTTTTGCTTGTAACGAGTCGATGGGTCTTGTATAAGGCAAGTGAGACACAAGGCCAAGAGGCGTCTGCAAGAAAGCCCTCGTGGGGAACGATGGTGTTGGCGCAAGATGTTGCACGTTTCGCCGGGTTACACAAAGGCGGGCGACGAGGCGAAGGCTAGGATGGATGCTGGTGCGGGTGCAGGCGCGGGGAGCAGGAGCGGATGAGCTGTAGCACTGGGGACCAACGATGGCGGATCGACGCTCGTTTTGCGAGTTGATGTTCGAGTCGCGATGCACAAAAGGCAGAGCAAGATGGATGAGCAAGACAAGAGGACGTTTGAGTCGAGTCGCAATGTGCAGGACGGAAAGATGGGCGAAGACGGAGATGGAGACGGAGCGAAAGGAAGGGGAGGACTTTCTTGTGGTGGCACTGACAGCAGCAGCAGCAGCAGCACCAGGAGCAGCACCAGGTTTGGCGCGTGAAGGAGGGTCCCGGGTGATGCTGGGGTCTTGGGGCCTGGGGTGTGATGGAGCCGAATAGGAGCAGAGTCACAGTTTGGCGGCTAAGGTGGTCCAGGACGGCTTGTCAGTGGACGGCAGAGCAGAGGGCCATAAAATTAGAGCTTTGGCAAGTGGTCGAAGGGTTGAGGAGGGTTGGCGAGATCTGGGGCGGATACGGACCGGCTCATCTGTTTGGGAGCCAAGACGATGCAGACAGGGCCAGGGGACCAGGGTGCCCGGGGTACGAGCATGTTAGGCGTCCAGGGACTAGACTACGAGCAAGCCACTTGCATGCCGAAGAGGGATCGGATTGGGGAGAGACGGCATGGCAGGGCAGTTTGAAGGAGTCGGCCAACGGTGCGGAGAGGTACCACGCTCACCACACTGCCGCCATGGTCACGGCGGTATGGTGTCAGTCAGTACTTGTTGGTATTGGCATGCCATTTTTAGCCGCAGGAACTGCACTGACTGTGCGCTGCGTGCGCTGCGTGCGTTGCAAGTGCCTCTCCAACCCTCGTGGCCCTGGTCGCTCTTGTCCCTGTGTGGCATGGCATGGTCGAGGCCGGCCGCCATCCGGCCTAGTGTGGTGATAGTCGACGGTCGAGAATTGCTCGATTCATGATATCCAAGCGTCTGCCATGGCCATGAAAGAGACACCTTTTCGCCCGGTGCTTTCTCGTCTATCACTTGACCAAGTTCAAGTGGAGGAGGCGGAGTGGTCCTCCGTCCAAGGGAAATCCAGGAAAACTTCGAGCACAAGGCACGAGGCGGTACCTTACAGATGCAGTGCCAGTAACCTGCTGTGTTCTGATGTCCACGCCATACAAATGGTCAGGCCTGGAGATGTCTGGCGTAACGAGGGCTGCTGTGTGGTGTCTAGGTCTAGTCGGAATCCATGTCCATATCCATAGCGCGAGCCACAGCGTGTGCAGGAGGCGGTTCCATCAGTAGACCGAGAGACGGGTGATGCGGGATCCCAGTAACGGCGCCGGGGGGGAGCAGCGAAGAACTGAGGTGGTTGGGCGTCGTCTCGAGGCGTGATAGACTTACAGAGATGAAGTGATGAAGGAGAAGAAGAGACGTCGTCCAGTGTCGGGAGGGGAAGGGGGCGGGGCTCGGTGGGGCAAGTGGGGCAGCAACACCACGGCAAGGGCAAGGGTTGGAGCTCTACGCGCCGAGCTGGGGTGTGATGGCGCCTACAGTTCTTGCAGCCAGCCAATTGAGGATCGCAAGTGCCTTTTCGATTCGATGCGGGTGCCTCACCACGGCAGGAGCTGACTGGTCGCTCGGTGCTAGCTTCCCGTCAACGGCCCACTCTCCAGAGCCCTGAGGTGCTGGATACTCTTGCTTTGACTGACTGAATTGGTTGGCTTGGTAGGAGCTCCCGAGAGCTTCATTCGAGGTACAAGCTACTCTGCATTTCCCCCTCTCCTACAGTACCTCGCACCTTGGACGACGACGACGACGACGGCGACAACAACCCTCCTACCACATCTCCTTGTTTCTCCTGACTCTGTGCTCCTCGTCACTCGGCAGCTGGTACATGGTACGTACCTATCAACATCCCAAGTGTGACAGTTCCCATCAACAATGCCAATGTGACGAGATGGGCCGGCCTGTCTCGAGCTCCAGTACATTGTCGTCTATGCTCTGGTAAGTAAACACACACTCACTCACTTCTCTGTGCTCTTCCGCCACCTTGCCTCGTGGCATGACGGCCTGAGCCACCCTCCATTGCGTCGCACCATTTCCACGGCCATGACAATCGCAATCATCACATTTCTCGCTACGACCGACTAGGCAACACGACCCTCAACAATCACAACCTTCACCATCCCCATCTCGCGCTGCCCTGCACCTCACCCTCCACCACCACCCCACATCGGCCACGCGGGGACCAGCTCGAACGACCCGCGGTCGCAGACACCACACACTCTCGGAGCCACACCCAAGATGCAGCCTCGCGCTTGTTGGGTCGTCAACAGTCCTTTTTCTTTGTTCGACGGGCGATGCATATGCGACCAAATTATGCCATGTACTGCACTCCCACCCGGACCCCACGCCTGCTGCATCAGATAAACTCATGTGTCGCGGGGGGCCGAATCCTCTTGACTGATGAGCCAACGGTAGTACTCGACATTGCCTGTGCAGCTGCCAGCCGACATGTATCTCGTGGCGCCGCAGCGCATATCCAGGTGGCATACTCTCTCTTCTCGCCTCTATTTCTCAGGTACCTTATCTGTTGATACCGCCGACACCACTGAACGACCCCTGAAAATTGGACCATGCGCCTGGGTACACACTATCCTCCAGGACCAGACTTCGCTGGCAGTGCAGGATATTGCACTCGGCATGTAACCTTCCCAGCCCGGCTTCCATTCGCATGACGAGCACCCAAATTACTGAGGCACGCAGTGTGGCTGCTTCCTTGGGGCCCGACTTTGACCACCATGCCGAGACGTCGTAGTCGGTCCCATGTCTTCGACACCACGAGTGACTCGTTCAATTGAGTTTGTGTTCGCTTTGTTCTACTGGCCTTGAACATCAGCCCAATACGCACCCTGGTAGCCCCCCATGGTCAGATATCCTCCTGACAGGATATCGAGCCATCTCCTGGTCAGTAAGCTAGCCGTCCCATCTGCAAGCACTTTAGGAAACCCCGCCAGGTCTCAACGCCAGCGCCGCGGCCACCACCATTTGCAAACCATGCTCAACCTATTGTGTCACGCTGTATCACATAATTGATGTCCTTGTGGCTTCGCCAAACGAAGCCGAGCACACTTCACGGCCCCGGCATTATTGTCCCATCCGCTACCATCCGCGCAACGAATTCTCACAGCGTTGAGATGATGCATACCACCGTTTTCTCTGAAACTTTGCGCAGTGACGTGCCTGAGATCAGCAATGAACTCGGACGGCGGGCCAATCAACCATGACAGTCTTCCGTAACCTCTGAAGGCCCTTTTCTGGCGGTCATTCCCACACACTCTACAATGTCTGTCTGTGGTCTCGCATTCATCATCGAGTGACACTTTGAGGATTCGGTCCCGGCATGCCAGTGTCATCCCCTGCCGCTTCACTATCACATCAATGTGCCGGCGGTATATCATGTGCCAGAAGGACGCATTCTCAAGCAGAGCAGGCTGGCGGATTGACCTTCGAGTCCACCATCAACTTGTCAGTGGCAGCTCGTTTTCATCTTGGCGTGCAAGCTCCCCACGTTGCACGAGGCAGAGCCATTGCCTTCCCATCGCGTCATTTCGAACATGAAACCCCTACAATGACATTCAAGAAGCCTGTCCTCTTCCCACATCCTTTCCGTCATTTGTCTCATCTATCGACGAAGCTTTGTTTGCCTATGTCCAGGCCCAGTGTGGCAGGAATCGTGGAACCGCATAAGCTCGCCGACTAGGTACCTAGCTGAGCGGGAAGCCCGCCATCAGGTCCGATCTGCCGCTGCCCCCATGTCAGTTCCCGGGGGTCTGTGCTTACCCCCGGGTGCACAACATGATCGGCCGACAAGAAGCTTGGGTGATGTAAAAGACTTGCAGACTGGGCTTCGTCTGTCTTCGTGTCAGGCCAAAGTCAGTGGCAGTAGACCAGCCTTGCAGTTGGTATCTCGTTCAGCTGGCAATGTTGACAAAACCCTGTCGATCCTGCGAGTTCTTGCAAGCAGCCCAATTTTCGCCAGGATCGGAATGTGATGTGCACTCCACCAAGGGTGGTGCGGGATGTGCTGGGCAGACATGCTTATGCTCGCGGGAGCAGCGCCTC